TTCCCGCGCGGGGTGTCCTGGGCCGCCCTCGGCTGGTGTCAGAGCAGCCGGGCGGGAGGCTGAGCCCCAAGCCCGGGGGGGAGGGTCCCAGCCTAGCTGGGTGTCCTTGAACTTCAGCCTTTTCCTGCCAGGCAGAGCTGGAAGATGCTGAATTACCCACCCCCGGTGCCACACGCTTGGTGTGTCCAGCAAGGCCCCAGGCGGCAGGAGCACTCTCTTCCTGGCCCGCTGGGTCGTGATGCCCTGGGGCTCAGGCCTGGCTGTGCGAGCCCTGTGCCGAAAAGCACCCGGGCTGTCCTTGGCATGCGCCGATTAAAAGCTTGGAGGAGGTCCCGACTCACTGAAGCAGCGGCGGTTTCGCTCCCAGCCGTTGCCTGGGATGGAGACGCCCAACCCGCTGGTGTAAATGTGGAGCAGGCCTCTACTGTCTAGCCCTGCGCCAGCACAAGTGGCTCGCTGCAGGCTAACGTTACCCCGCGGAGCTGAGGTTACACCTGCCAAGTGTATTTTGGGGTTTAGCGCTACTCCCTCTGCTCCCGGGGTAGCCCCAGGCTCCGCTGCTACCTGGCAGCAATGAGCTTGAATAGTCCCTACTCCAGGCACCTACCTTCTGCAGGGCTAATTTCTCTCTGCACCAGACCCTAGTATAACCATCTGTCTGTCTACAGACAGACCTGGGTAACGCAGGTGTAAATGTGGGTGGTATGTTGACAGCCTTTGTTGTTGATGTGACTCTTTCACTTTAGGACCTACCAATTGCAGTTTCCCACTAGAACGACATCCTTCCCTCGGCCTGAGGCTAACAAGTTTGCCATCTCTGGTTTAGTAAAGATAGACAGGGAAAGTGTTGTTGATCTCTGTAATCTCTTAAGCCAGTGGGAAACAACCTTTTTGACAGACCTGCCACACATTAGTTCTACAACCACCCTGAGAGCCGCTCCGCTCCCATTCCCCTTCCCAATCTGCTGCTCTGCTTTCTGCGCCTGCCCTGTCTACTGCTGTGTTATCCCCTACCCAGCATGGTGCGGGCATAATGCGGAGGCTGCCTGAGCCACTTGTGCTGCAGGTTGGCTGCTCTTGCCTTAAGCTATATCATTTAAGTTATGAAACGTTTGGACAAACCTATTTATCATGAAATGCTTAGACTACCTGAGGACTCCCAGTATATTCTCAGAGGCATAGCTGACAAAACGAAATGCCCCTAATGTAGAGTCAGCTGATTTAAGTTCTGTGAACAAAATAAGCGATGTCAGCACAAACATCTCTGTTAGGGTTTTTTTTTTTCATGTATAGATGTGTCTAAAACCAAAATTGCATCACTTAACTGCCTTGTTATACTGACAAGTATTTCTAGCGAAGATCTGATCTAAGCAAAAAAGTATATTCTACGTATTTGAATAAAAGTTCACGTGTAACTGACTGGTGTACAAGGAAGTATCTGTATCCCTATAATCTATATCTGCAAATAAAATAAAAATTCATATATCTTGTAATATTACCCAGACGTAAGGATAAGTGTGAGCACACTTTAGCTATCCACCTACCTTTTGACTGCTGCTCTCCCTTCCTTGTTTCTGGTGCAGTTGAAGGGAATACAGATAGCTATAAAGGAGACCGTTACAGCTACTATGAAATTAGCCAGAGTACAATCACAGTCAAAAGTTTAGGTAAAACATGCTATACATTTAAGCAGATCATGCACTGAACTCATATGCAGATAACCAGCAATATTTAACAAGCAATAGGCAGCGAATTGGGACTGACCTTGTGCTATTCAACTAAACAAATTTATATGCATACATGGTAAGGGGAGTATTCCCTATACCCGTGTCGGGCAATTATTTTGGGTGGAGGGCTGCTTACTGAGTTTTGACAAGTCATTGAGGGCCGCATGACAGGCGGATAGATAAATATTAATTTTCTAAATTTTTTAGGGGCCCCAAGGGCCGGATAGAATAGCCTGGTGGGCTGCATCTGGCCCACGGGCTGTATTTTGCCCACCCCTGCCCTATTCCCTGTCTGCTATAAATGGAACTTTCAGCTCTTGTTTTGTGATTTTTTTCCTTCATGAGGCAAAGGAGCTGTTCATTAGGGGTGTGCGAAATTGGCTGTATTTGATTCAGATTAGGCCCAAATCGGGGACAGTGATTCGATTAATTGATTTGGATCACTGTCCAGATTTGATTTTGCCGAATCAGAATCTGAGGATTCGATGCTGATTCGAAGAATCAGCAATTCAGCCATAGACACAGCTTTAAATGTTTTTTTACATACCTCGAGGTACCAGGTGCGGCTCGTGAATGCTGCAGTGGTGGAGTGGATGGAGTGTCCCACAGGAGTGCAGGGTGCCTCCCCACGTGCTTGGCGGTGAATCTGGAAGTGGACCGGAAGTACTTCTGGGTCTGCCGGGGAGCGCGCTGGGGGCCCCCTGTACACCCCCCAGCTCAGTGATCAGCTGTGGGGGGGACCTTGGGTGCCCCCCCAGACCCAGGAGGCACCAGGCACTGAGCTGGGGGGTCGTGTGGGGGCCCACCAGTGTGCTCCCTGGCAGACCTGGAAGTGGACTGGAAGTGCTTCTCGTTCACTTCTGGGTCTGCTGCCAATCACGCCGGGGAGCCCCCCACACTCCGTGTGCCCCAGCATCTCAGCATTCACGAGCTTCCTGATACCTTGAATTATGTAGAAAAAACATTTAAAGGTGTGTCTACGTCCGAATCTCCAAATCTTTCTGAATCTCCCTGAATCGATTTGGAGGGTTCCAGTTCGATTCAGAGAGATTAAAGGTTTTCCTAGTTCAATCTGGATTTGGAGATTCGGCCACCAAATTGGGCTGCATCTCCCCTAAATCGAGTCAGGGACTGAAGCTTCGCACAGCACTACTGTTCATTACTGTCTATAGGGGACTGGATAGCAGCAGGGAAACTAAAATATGCTTTGTAAAGGTCTGTCTGTACCTAAAATCTCATTAAAGTAGGGTGTGAAGTACAATAGCTGTCAAAAACAGCTTGGTTTTGAAATTAAAAAAAATCCTTTTTTGTTTACCTTACCACATGAGATGGGTTATTAAGGAATAATTATTTCTGAATAACTATTTGTGGACAAGCCTTCAAGTATAATTCTGCTGCCTGGGAAAGTTGAGTCACAGCAGAGGCAGGTGCTGGAACCATCTGTCTTCAGACTTGGGAAGACTCTGTTCCATCACATTATGTGATATGTTCTTTTTACAGTCATAAGGACTAAAAACTGTCCTCCCAGAATGGAAAGAATTCAAATTTCTAGTAATAAATGTCCTATCACAGGCAGACAGACCTGGAGTTTTCTGATCACTTGCATTTACCTACTTAATTGCTTACAGAAGAGTTGCAGGCAACATTTGATTGTTGGCTGCTGCCACAGCCAGCCATCATTCTCTTTAAGGAGAGATACTGGTGCCTCTGTAACAAGGAGATTGCATCCAGTATTAGTGTTGACAGTGGTCCTTTTTTACAAAGAAGTTTCATAGGGATGTATTCCATTACTAGGGTAAGTGTACGTGTGTATTGCACACACATACGTGTGCATTTTGCATCTTAATAAACCAATCCTGTTTTAACATCTGTTTTAAATAAGCTGTCACAACTCAGCTATTTTACCACAGATGAGTGTTCAAGATGACAAGGTTCCTTGGGTGAATTTGATATCTTTTATTAGACCAACACGGCTACAACCTAAACCCCTGTTCAAGATGACTTATTTGTAACACTTTTTATATGGACCCGAATTCAAATATTTATGAAGTAGCATTTAGATCAATTCTCGAGAGCATATACCTATGGCACTCTGTAGTGCTGGGGTTTCTTATGAGGTTGGTAAAAAGTAAGCTGGGATGCTGCATTCATGGCCAAACTGAACAGGATACCTCTCGCTTAAATGCTATGATTCTTTCACTTGTCTGTCTTTAAAAAAAAAAAATTATTAATAGAAAAAGCATGTGCATCTTCAGCCAGGTAGGACCCCGTTATGTAATGTACTGTACAGACGGGTAAGCTCTTTGGAAGGATGCAGTCTTTTCCAAAAATGTCATTTTTGAAGTTGTAAATTAGAATTTTTAAACAAATGGTTTTTGAGGGAGGCTCTTTCACTCCAGGAGCAAGACAAATACATGCATACGTCCCATGGAGATTGCTGCACAGAGGGAGTCTATGAAGTATAATCTGTCTCAACAGGCAAATGACTGAGAGCAATTTAATCTGCATCTCCAAATGATTTTGTGTTTTGTCTAGAGGGGAAGAACATAATCTAGAGGCTAAAATTTAAACAGTTAGCAAATATACTTAACCTTTTTAAAATTAGAACTTTTTCTATGGACAAGCAAGGCATACCTCAGTCCCAGCCCTTTATTTCCTATCCCAAGATATATGAGGATATACACTGGAAGGAATAAGACTAATTCTTGGATTTAGATTTTATTTTTTCTTATCTGCTCTTTATTTCTTCATGTATTTCAGACTGATTTTGGTGAATTAATATGCATTTGTTTTTTAATACATATTTCACATTATTTGAGATTTGGTTAATTTTTTTGAAAACTAATTCTGCTATTCTCTGTGCGAACTTTTTCAGTTTGACAATTTTCCTGCTTCAATATGTCATTAATATAATGTTAATAAAATGTTAAAACTTTGATTTCCAGAAAAATGATCCTCCTTTTCAACTCAAACTTCCTCCGAAGGCAGCTAGATCTGAAAAAGAAATTGATCCAGAATATGAAGAGAAGATGGTAAGTGTGTTGTTACAGCATAGTGGATGATTTACGTTTTGGCAGCCTTTAAAAAAAAATCTAAATGGAGACAATGGGAGGAAACAAGAAGGTACTGCAGACAGGATATGGAAGGGAGGGAAAGAAAATGGAACAAGGATAGCAATATTAATACAAATAGCTATAACTTATTCTCAGAATACATTTGTAAATAATGTATGTTCAGGGAAATTTTCAAAGCAAGGGGATAACTCTGTCATGAAATGTAGTTTGCCCAGGAGTTGGGATATATTTTGCAAGTCTGAAATAGGTGAGAACTAATGATTGGGCACATGGACTTATAGCCTCTAAGGATTTTTTAAAAGGAAGCTGGGATGCACAAGATGGTATCCTGAGGGTGCTGTGACATTGTAAGAAACACGGGCCTGTCTCATCACACTGATGTGGATATCTAAAATCTAACAAGAACAGAGATGGAAGACAACATATTGTATGCTTTTAAAAGAAGACAGGACCTGGAAAAGCAAAGCAAACTAGGCTTGGGAAACCCTAAAAAAAGGCAGTAATATGTTTGTGATCTGGGCCCATGCATACAATACTGTGCAGTGATCAGAATGTGGGGAAAGAGCCTTATAGATCTGTATGATATAAGGCACATGCTGATAGTTTGCACTACCTAAATGAGAGAAAAATCCTAACTTTTGGAACACCTCACAAAATCATATTGCCAGTAAGATCTATTTAGGACCCATTTTAAGGGAAGAAGTAGCATTGGACAGAGAAAGTAATAGTAATCACTGATATCGTACTCCTTTGCTTATTACTGAGGGTTTTGATACCATCTTAAGTGGCCTTAAACTAGCTGGGGAGAAAGCTGTGGACAAATGACAGACAGCCCTAAGTTACAAAAACCCTGTACATTCAGCGGCAAACTTGCCTCAGAATTAAGTGGTAGTAAATTTAATACTTATGTAGAATAGATTTGTTTATCTGTAATCCTCTGGGGTCATGAAGCTTGCTCAATTAAGTCAGGTGTGAAGATGCAGTTTTTTCCCCTCTATTAGCTACCTTAACACCTGCCTGCCTTCCCAGCAGCATGTTTGTTTCTTCCTGCTGCTCCACCAGTTAAAAATGCAAGGAGGTCTTTGACCTCATGTTCCCATCATTCTCTGGGGAGGAGTTGAGCTTGAGTTCACAAAACCCACCATTATCATGATGCATACAGTGCCAAATGGCTGCCCATATCTATTGGTGAGACAGCTCCCACTGAAGGATGAAGGCAGAGGACTTCAAATGCTGCTGCAGATGTGTGAAGCACACCAACTGCTGCTTCACTGCCAGCAGACTATGTGCCTGATTTGTGATGAGCAACTTGAGATCCTTGCCAAGGACAGCAGCATCAAGCCATGCTGTATGTCAGCAGAGAAGAGGAGGTCTAGGCTGTGAACATCAAGGCTTTCGCTTCAAATGAGAACCTTTTTTACTTCCTATCCACTGATCCAGCTTGGATGAAACTGACTGGTCAATCATAGTTACCTGCATTGCTGCCAGCTGTTGGCTAGCCCGTCCCTTGAAAATCATTGTATCAGAGCCCCTTTGCCTTGGATACCATCCAGGCAGGTAAGTGAAGATGTAATGCCACTACAGACTTCCACCCCAAAAAGTGGTCCCTGAGATTAGATGGCTGACAGGTTGCCACTAGTGCCCTACTTCCAGGTGCCCCAACCTCCAAGAAGGATATTTAATATTTGTCTGCAAGCAAAAACCAAACAAAAAGTTCTAGCAGCTTGCATTTATTTCAACAGGGCTGTGTTGTGCCCTCTGCCAGGCCCGCATTTCCACTGACTGCCCCCTGTAACTTTTCTGTTGCATGGCAGGTCTGGAAACCAGTGCTTCCCCTTCTCCACTTTGGCTGCCAACAAAAACAAATTCAATGGTAGCTATCAGTTTATTTTGACAGAGCCCAGTCCCACCCATCCATCGTGCTCAAAATTTTAATTTGGGGGCAAAAACCTCTGTGTCTAGTGATCACTTTGGGTAGTAGGTGTTGATCATAAGTCAGATGTGTACCTGCTTGGGCAGATAGGTAATCTTTTCAGTTAGTGCTTAAGCCAAGCCTTCCTGTTGCCACGTGTAACAGGGCATCTATGGTGCCTGTTACTTTAAGAGAAGGCAACTGCTATTTAGAGAGCCATACCTGTGGGAGGTGTTGCCTGTTAGGAGCTCCGAAAGAGTAGGGGGGCAGGGTTGAGAGCCATTAGCCTCTATTGCAGAGCTAACAACTCTGCCATAATACAGCTAGGGGAAACCCTTGCAAGTAAGCAAAACACTGTTGCAACAGCTAGGCAGTCATACAAAGCTGCCACAGAGTTAAATCTGAAAGCCCAATTAAGGGACACCTGTAGCCCACCCATAAGGCAGCTGGTGTCCTGGGGTGGGAGCACATATGAGCCAGGAAGTCTCTCATAATGTGAGAATTGATTGGGATCACTGGGGTCCAACAGGGATCTGTGAGTGTGAAGGTTGACCAAGACTTGCTGTAGGTTGACTAAAGCTGTAGGACTGGGGCAGCCTTCTTTTTTTCTAAACAATATTTCCAGCAAGGCATGGCAAGCGAGAATAAAGAGGGAGTATACGCAGAGAGCCAGAGTAGGGCAGGATTCATGAGGCCACCAGGGGGTGTTGCAGCCACCCCTGGGATCTGTCTCTGTGACGCCAGGAAATACTGTTTTTATATTCGTTCTACAGTACCTGGCAGTCTCAATATATTTCTCCAGGAACTGTGGGGACCATCCTGAGAAACAGCTATAATATGTATCTAGCAAGGCACCCTTTTGCTTTCATAGACAAGTATCTGCTTCCCCTTTGTTACATCATATGGACTAGTGTTATGTTCTCCACAGAAAACCCAGAGAGTGTTTGGGAATGTTGGACCTTAGTGTTATACTATCTGTCTGCACTCTTCCCCCATGCCCCACAGCTGCAGCCTTGTACAATACTACAGTAGCATGTATACCAAGCAGTGCAGTAGCCTCTTTTTGCAGTTTCCAGGTGCTTGACCACTGAAACAACAGGTCAGAAGGAACAGCCAGGCATAGGTACTATTGTCAGGTAGTCCCAAGACTAGGCAAAGGCTCTGGTAATTGCATCCTGGAAATTACAGGGAGGCTAGGGAGTTAATTCTGAAGCTAAGGATGGAACAATGACTACTTGTACATGTCTTGCCTTCTAGGTTCTGAATCTGCAGCTTTGGGACTTCAAGGTCTTTACTGCAGACAGTGGCTTGTCCTCTGACAAACCTGAGGAAGAGGAAGAAAACAGGGTGGGGAAACAGGGATGGGCGAAAGAATACTTGGGTAGCTGGTGATCTTGCTGGAGAGGAATGACACTCCTCCAGCACATCAGGATCTGGTGACAAAGGGCATTGTCCGTGCCAGAAGGAATACCACAGCAATGTGGAAAAGTGACCGTGGCAAGAGAAATGCTGAACCTGCTGTGGAAATAGGCGTGGGAGATGCAGTGCACCCTGCGTGGAGTCCTGTTGTGCCAGAGTGCATGCATGGAATTCCTTTCTAGTTTTCTTTCCTGGCTCTTGTGTTTTTTCTTTGTTTGTGTAGCATCTTCCACACTTCAGGGAGCCAGCCAATGTCTTGTGGCCCCTTGATGCTACCTCCTGGGAGCAGCAGTTTCTCAGGGATAAGGGAGAACAGATTTTTCTAGGGACTAAGACCCTCTGATCCACTAAGTCTGGCTGTGGGCTGGATGCTGTGGCATTTTGCTTTTTGTGGCTTAGAGCTGTGCATCTGTCTAGTCTTCCTTGGGACTTGGAACCAACCCCTGGGACATAAGGGACATTCTCATATTTATATATCCTGCCTCCCCCTCTGTTAAATGCATGCAGTTACCCCTCTCAACCCTATTCTTTTTATAGAGAACTTTTTGATTTCTCATTGCAATGCTTGTTTCATTTGTTGTTAAATAAAACCAAACTTTGTTTATTTGCTGAGCTTTATTATTGCTGTCCCTGTTTTCTATTTTGGTATATGTAAAGGTTACTTTATGTCTGCTCCCCCTACTCCTGATTCAAGTAGGTAGCTAAGGTACCTGAATGAGATAGCTTTGGTGCTTGTTATCGTTCAGCAGCAACAGTTAGTCAATCCTCTGAGAGAGCTGCTTGGTCTCTACTACCCTCCCCTTGCCCAGTGACTTGCCTTTTACCTTGCAGTTAGGCAGGATGCAGTACGGCAGCATTTGGGAAAGTGATGGTTGGATGCATCTGTCTGAATGCTTCGTGTTCTCCACCAGGCCTTAGGGGCACTTTTACATGTGGTCTGGGGGTGGGGGCGGTGGTGCTTTAATTAGAGCGGCTCTGAGACCCACTCTAATTAAAGCGCCGCAGCATCTTCTGTATCAGCATCCCCATGCTTAAGAATGGTGGCTGGGGTGCTTGAACTAAAGCTCATTGAACAAACGTTAGTTCAGGTGCGTCTGGCACCATTTTTAAGCACGGGGATGCTGATACATGAGATGAAGACTGTTGGAACATGGTAATTACCATGCTTCAGCAGACTCAATCAAATCTGTTTCAACGTGTTATAATTATAGTGTGTTGGAGCAGTCTCCACACTTGCGTATATCTTAGGGCCCCCTAGGTGCCCTAAGATATATTCCATTGTCACCTTACAGCTGGGAAGAGCAGGTAGGCTGGGCTTGCCGATCACCTTAGGGTGGGGTCACTTTTTGGTCCCTTCTCTGGAAGTGGTGTTGGCAAACGCTTATCAGGGAGTCAAGGGAGAGCTTATGGAAGACACTTTTATGTACCATTCAGCATGTAATCCAGAAGTTATGCATGAATGTCCAATGGTGATTTCCCCAGAGCCTGTAATACAATTGAGAAACAGCCCTGTCTCTTAATAAGCAGTGATTTATGGTGGAGTGGGACAAAGGATCAGGTGTTTGTTCTGTTGAGCACAGAGAAGTGATTGGGGATGTCTAAACAGATGAATAAGTTGATCGTTGCTTTGGGTTTGGAGAACCTCCGAAAATGCAAGGCAAATATCTACTTTGTCACCATTCAGACCTCACAAATGACACAAGCAGTAGATTGGGCCATGACCAACTAAAATGGAAGGAGCAAGGGATAGTCAGGGGTTGCCAGTTTCTAGACCGCAATCATGCCCTGTTTCTTCATGCTTGAAGAGACTTGTACGTTGGTGCTCCCAGCTTCATTTGGTGTCAATTCTACTTAGATCTTGGGAAATGTAGTCTTTCTCATTATAAAGGTCTGTCTCCACCACGATCATCCCATGGCTATTAACTACCCTCTCTTACCACTCTGCCTTTCTTTCACACCTGAACTAATACTATGCTGTTTAGAGGTGGTTGGAAGGCAGGGCTTTATATGTATCCAGCTTTTCTTTTTTCCTCCATCAACCCACAGTCACTTGCTGACGGTATGCCACACAGTTCCACCATATGCTTTGTGAGAACTTCGGATGTTGTAGCCTGTTTTCCATGACTGCATCATTTTGCCCAGCTAGGTATTCAAGCAAGGAAGGATTATGAGGTGATTGTGGATTTGGCATTGCAGTGTCATATAGGTTGTTACAAGGACCTGACAATAGTATGTTCAGTAAGTGGAGGAATTTGAAGTTGGAGGTATCCATTCCATACGGGCATTGTGAGATGACTGGCACCCTTGGCTGCTTCTTTCTGCCTAGCTTGTGAACAGCAGAAGTGAAGGCTTGAGATTTTCCAGCAGGCCTTCTGTAATTTCCTGGAAGACTACAGAAGCAGGGCTGTAACTGCCTGGTACTGTGCTGTGGGCCAGTCCTCTCTTCTCCCTTCATCAGCTCCCATTTCCTCCTGTGGCAGCACGAATGGCAAAGCAAGTAATCGTGGCATGCAGTGCTGGAGTAGTGATTGGAGACTTCCTGTGCCTGTGGGAAATGACAGCTGTTTTGCCACTGATGCATGTTTCAAGTAGCCAAAAAACACTGGTATGTGGTGGTTAAAAAAAAAAAGAGTGACATTTCCTTTAGCAGCAGAAAATCTCAGTTTGGAACTATGGTTCCCAGAGTATCCATAACTGAAACCTATCTTCCTGGCTCACTAACGCATTCTCCTGCACTGCTGCTGCTTTGCCGTCCCTGCTGCCCAAGCCAGAACTTCTGCAGGGTGTGGGAGAAGTGGGGAATGGGAGACAGGAGGGGTGAGACACCATCTTAGCTTCCTGCTGGGGGCTCTTCTTTAGGCCTTTTGGTTCATGTCCTGCTCACCCACCTATCTTTACACTAGTACACAAAGGACTCTTGGGACCTCCTCCTGAATGCTGCTTATTTTAAGTGTGCTCCTTTATATAATATATAACATTTTTTTTCATTGAGGCTCTTCCACATAATGGTATTGCATGAAGTCACGGTGGAATCTAAGGAAAATGTCAAATGCCCTGAGATCAGGGGAAGAACTTTGCTACCAGAAGGTTTAATTTCTTATAAATAATAAACCCTGTGAGTACTGCTTCCATTTTCAAGGATAGATGACCTAGATCCTATTTAGCAGATTCTAGATACAGGATTCAATGCTTGTGTAATGCAGTAGAGCTTTGATGGTACTTTTTAGGCTGCACTCCCTCTCGCGTGCAAAACGGTGTGAGTCAATCTTGTGACCCTTAGGTCAGGAACTGCAGGGGTGCCTTTAATATATAATATTTCATCCACACTTCTGACCCTGTGGTGCTTTTTTTTCTTTTCTTAAATTATCTTTGGACTAGGAGTAGTCGTCATCTAAGTTCACTTGCCCAATCAGGTAAGGTTAATGCACTAGACATGTCAATATTGTGCAGCTTATTTTCCTCTGCTGGCCTGATTGACCACGTAAAGGTGTGTGTGTGTAGCCATAGTCCTAAGTCTTCCTGGACCCTTTTGGGGCTCCATATACCCCCAGTAGATAGGGAGGAATTAGTTTGGCTCCTAAGCACTGAGGTAGATATTTTATTTGGTTTTTATGTAGGCTGTACATCTTGAGGAAGAGTATCTGTGGCCTTCTCCCCTCCCCGTCCTTCACTGTACACCTTTTTTGTCTCTTATTTAGTCAATGTTTTTAGTTTTATTAGAAGTGTATGCCTTTACTTATAGGGCATGTTTAATAGCAATACTTTTTTTTACTCCCAGCACTATTTTGAGATATCACGCTAAGGGATACATTTTACGGATAGATTTTAGTTTTTAGGTTTTTTGAGACTGCGAGCAAAAGTTGCTACCGTTTTTTTGATTTCAGGGAGAACTGATCCTTGAGACCTCCAGATGGTCATGGTAATAGCCCTGGTGTCTTGAACTAGATTTGAATTGGCAAAGAGTCTGTATTCTATTCTCTGTGAAGATGCATTGGATTAGAGAGAGAAGAATGTGTAGGCATAAGCATTTGCTGCAATATGCTTCATTTTGGTAAGAAGAGAAATCATAGTACTTAAAAACTATAAACACCATTTAAAATTTTTAGTTTGATTACTTTGTTTTGGAGAAAATATTTGTAGTAGTTGTGAAAGGGTAGCATTGCTGTACATCTCTGTGTGTACACACACCTCTTTTCAAAGTTTACATATAAATATGGTTTATCGTATTTTTAGTTTAGATAGTTTTAAAGATGTTTATGCAAAAGCAGATCAATAGCTGTGGTTTCAAGGGACAATAACTACTTAAGGTTTCCTAGTAACCTTTTTTGCCACCATTGCGTGTAAGTTGGTAAGACCTCTTTTCATGTGACTACCAAAAGGTGTTCATTATCAACACTTGGACAGATTCTCTGTGAAATTTATATTGCCCTCATGTGGCAAAAAGATGTGCTAGCATCTTGTCAGCCTAATTTTGAATCTTGCTTTCTTTGAATTGGACAAAGCTGCTACTGTTACAGTGTTTTTATTTGCATATAACAATGACCTGCTTTTTTCCTTTTGAGGAACTTTCTGTAATTTATATATTGCTTAGGAATGTTATTATACTAACTAATGCTTAGTATCTGCATAGTAGCTTAGTACTTTATTTGAATATGTGGTTTATTGATACACACAGGCAGATTTATATAAATACTGTTTAAAAACAGATAGGAGAATGTGATAAGATCTCCTTGCTTTCTTGGTAAAGCTGTTGTTTACCATTCGTGTGGTCTATTAAATATAGTGCAGCATATACTTCGTGGCTTTAAAATAATATTTAGTGTCTGAGCCTTTTCATACTGAAATTAGTAAAAAATATTGTTAACTCTAGTAGTTCAGGTCTCCTATAAATCTTTCTTTAATTTACTTAAAAAAAAAATTATGAGAATCAGTGCAGAGACTTCTTGAGTGAAATCCTGGCCCCATTGAAGTCAATGGGAGGTTTACCTTTGATTTCAGTAAGGCTTCGATTTTGTCCTTCGTTGTGCGCCAGAAACGACGCTTGCCACCTTCTATAGTTAACATTGGTATAGAGTCCTTCAAGGAGTCCCCTGGGCTTTTTGCAACTCCTTGCAGGTGGAAGGTGCACATGCATAAAGTGCTTTGCAGGATCAGGGTTATGGTGTATAAGTTTCTTGATATATAGAAATACAGTTATTGCTGGTTGAGGAAACTACAGCATTTCTTGTTTTTCTCTTTGTCCTCAAACTTAGAAAACGGACCGAGCAAAGAGATTTGAGTTCCTCCTGAAGCAGACAGAGCTATTTGCACATTTTATTCAGCCTGCAGCACAGAAGTCACCAACATCTCCATTGAAAGTCAAATTGGGGCGACCACGAATCAAGAAGGATGAAAAACAGAGTTTAATTTCAGCTGGGGAGTATGTTATCATATTCACATTTTATACCTAACTTTGGTATTTTGAAGCAGATTTATACCTTTTTAACACCTTGTTAACTTAATAAGAAAATCTTATGTATGTATATTTAGAGCTTTGCAGGGGTGTGGGTTTCATTCATTTGAAAATATTTATCTCACATTAGGCTATTATTAGATTCAGTTTTGGGCAGATCAAGTATTCAACTGAAAATTGTTTTCATTCTTTTTTCTGTCACTAGTATAGTGATCAAATGGTAGATTCTATGGTCTTTTTTACACTGCTCCCCTCTATAGTGCCAGGAAGATACTGCTCAGTACCTTGCTCAGTACAACTGGGTTTATTTAGGATAGATCTGGTTTAAAATTTAAATCAGTCTGGTACAAGCTGTAGGCCAGAACAGTGTGGGCTAGGTGGCTTCCATGGCACATCAGTGGCATGGGGTTTTCCCTGCATGCAGTCTGGGGCAAGGTAGCTGGGAGCTGTGCCCACACCACTGTTGCTTCTCCCAGTCCCCTTGCTCCTTGACTGAAGCATGCGTACAGATTCCAGCTGGTGGGGAGCTGCACTGGGAAAAGATATCTGCAAAGTGGCACTCCTGCCACTTCTCCCCACTCCCCCACAGCTGCAGTTCAGGCACAGCTGGAAACTGCCCAGCCCTAGCATAGCTCCTCACTGGGGGTGGAAGCTGTGGCCATGCCGCAGTAAGAGGAGGGGGAGAGGAGCATGGGTGTAATCTGCGGATGTCCAACCTCAGTATAGCTCCTCACTGGCTGGAATCTTTTCCCATGCTGCACCTGGGGAGCAAGGGGCGGGCAGAAGTGGCAGCAGTGGCAAAGTGCATCTTTTGGCTGCCTGATTTCAGGACAGAAGCAGGCAAAACCCCTCAGCATTGAGGCGTTGCCAAAACCACATTGGACTGGAGATGGGAGGGCGAAAATAAGCGGTAGTGGCATGGGCACAGCTGGAAGCTCCCCAACCCTGCTGTGGGCATGGGTGCAGGCATAGGCAAAGCCCTCCACCAATGCAGGTTGGTTCTGGCCCACAGGCTGTATGTTATTGACCTGTGATTTTAATGATTTAGAGATGGAATGAATAACTGGAATAGCTGCTTAAAATAAATTAGTTCTGTCAGAGGACTGAAAGGGGTTGTAAATTAGATTGATTAGAAGTTGCTGATATCCTATTTTCCTGTTCTCTTAAAAATGCAGTCATTCTGAAATGATTTAGTTTGCTTATATATGTACATTCTTTCTTTCTCCAGTTATCGTCATAGACGCACAGAGCAAGAGGAAGATGAGGAGTTGCTGTCTGAGAGTCGAAAGACGTCTAATGTGTGTGTACGATTTGAGGAGTCTCCTTCGTGTGAGTATCCTTTTTGTTTGTTTGGATTAAAGTAAAATCTGCTGAGCAGATCGCAATAAAATTAAAGTATTTTTCTACTTAGAGGAATCTTACATTTACAGATGTGAAAGGAGGAACACTAAGAGATTATCAGGTTAGAGGGTTGAACTGGATGATCTCATTATATGAAAACGGTGTTAATGGCATTCTGGCAGATGAAATGGTAAGCAGTAGTCTTTGATATTTTTGTCAAAAGTAGCTGTCTGATTTTGACCTTTTGAATTTTATATTTGGGACCTTCAGCTGTCCAGAACTTTTTGATTTTAAGACTAGCCTCATGAATTTAAATTGCATGAGCTGCATGCTACTTTACTCTTGTAAGAAAAAAAATACATGACATGATAAACTTACTGAAGGTTGTTATTTCTCTGTTTACATATAGTTTTGCATGCAGTAGCTGGTTGAGAAGCAATGACTATTTTTTACCTTACTTAAATGCATAATTGACACAGATTCTACAACTAGTATGTCTAAGAAGAAAAGAAATATGGGAGTTATTTCTTCCAGAAGTGGGTTAGAAGAAAGCAGCCATCTCTGTGCTAAACTGATGGTGTTACTGAAGTTGAAAGACAATCATGCAGTTAATCTCTTCTTTTTGTAGAGAATTTGGATGCTCTATTTTAGTTACTGTGACTGATGCATTTAAAAATATTTCATGGATTTAAATTCGTTTTTTTTAATACCATATCTTAAAAGTTAGTCTATCTGTATGAAACAGGCCTTTTTATTGTCAATGTATGAGTCAATTCACGTAAATCAGGTGAGACTTTAAGTTTAAATTAGCTGTAATCAGTGGAGCTTTCTATACAGACCAAAAGGCTAATTGGCTAGTTTTAGAGGGGTTTTTCCTTATGGATGTTGACTACAAAGGTAAATGTTTCCTGGAAAGGGCCTCTGGAAGATTGCCATCCATCCCAAGGACTGGTTTTCTTGCAAACGTACACATTTAACTTAATAAAGTTAGTGCATAAAGAAATAGATTTCTTGGGGTGGATCCACCTCTAACTGAAGTCAAGGAAGCTTTCCATTAACTTCATTGGATATGTCATGTTCTAGTTGCAACAAATTGAGTCATCTGTAAGTATGTGGAAAAAATAAAATGTTATGCGTCCTTTAAATATAAGGGAAAATATCTTCAGGGAAGATATGGTTATATAGCCCTGAAATATCAATTTGTGTAATTCAAGCAAAGATGCATACATTATGGAAGGGCTTGAGCCAAGTTTATTTGAAAATTAGCTTGAAAATGGATACACTTTCAATAGTGTTTTATTTAGTCATATTTTCATAAAAAGGCTATAACCAGAAGTGTAACAACATAGGATTTTCATTTTTCTGCACTAAAAGGTTTTTCTTTGGGCACTTGACTATAAACTGTTATAGCCACCATTTGAAAATAATTTGCTATCCCTTTGTTATGTGACATTTCATTTCAAAAGTGGTATGTTTTTTCTTTGCTAACGTAGGGTCTTGGTAAGACTTTGCAAACTATAGCATTGCTAGGCTATCTGAAGCATTACCGAAACATTCCTGGACCACACATGGTTCTGGTTCCAAAATCAACTTTGCACAACTGGATGAATGAATTTAAACGCTGGGTTCCGTCTTTACGTGCTGTTTGTCTTATTGGAGACAAGGATGCCAGAGTAAGTGAACAACAGTTGAAAGATGCTGTGTTTTGCATATCAAAAACTAGTATTCTGGGAAAAAGAATTCTCTATGAAGCTATTTCCTTAGCAGTAGTATCTTCCTGCAGTCTCTGAAAATGTTAGCATGGGGAAATGCATAGATGCTATGCTAATGTATCCTAGAGAAAATACTGGGAATCACTCTGCTCATCTAGTGATTACTGTTCACTTTTTCTACCATTTGGCCACCTTGTCTCTTTTTCCTTCAGGTTCTTTTTTTCTTTCTTGATGGTCTCTCCCCCACTTTCCCTGGATAAAATGGGATAACAAAGAAATGTAAATTCAGGCTGGTAAAATCAAGAAAGGTGTACCTTGTATTTGACTATCATCCAGAAAATATGCTAATGGACACAGTATCAATACTGTAGAATCTTTTAGGAAATTGATAACAGGGCTATTATTTGTGTAACTTAAACAAAACAGTGAAATTGCAGTGGAACAGCAGCTCTTACTGTGAATGTGGAGAGTAACTTACTGTTCAAAAGCTAATTATTCTGTATGTTCCAAAATCTGCATGCTGACTTGAATTGTCTTAAAATTTGCTGAGAACTGTTGAGACACTTTCTGAAGATGCAGCTCCTGCCCGTTCCCTTCCCTGAAAACCAGAAGCCGAGAGCATTTTGCATGTTTTTTTCTGACATGTCTTTGTTCACACCTGGGGCTCAAACTGTGTCCCAACTTATCAAATGGATTTCAGCTGCTCAGAATTTATCTTAGCGAGTACTATATTGTCTCTCTAAGGAAAGCTTTATTGAATATGTTATTTAGAATTACACGTAGAACCCCAGGTGTATGCACCAGTAGCTTCAGCCAAGGGGAATGAAATATGCATGCACAGCAAGACTGTTGGCTCTGTTAAATACCCAAAGGATGACAGGTGACTCAAGGAGAATGTGCTGTTGTCACTGAATCTCAGCTGCACCATGTGCCATGAGCTGAAGCCCTATTCATGGCAGGTTTCAGAAAATGTATGCATATACCTTGCTTTTGCACTTTGGTCCTTTTTGGAAGTTTTCCTTCATGCCCCACATTTCTGGTTTAAAAGAGGAGTCTTTTAAAATGCTCTGAAGTCCACATACAAACTCGTATTTTATTTTAGCATTATTCTTTAAGAAAAAGACATGAGTTTTATCTATCCTCTAGGAAGTAGTTAAGCTAGGGAATGTGGAGGGAGCAGAAATTTGGAAGAGAGTATGTGGCAGTTATGTAGAATGGGAGCTTCAGCTGCTACAGCTGAATGATGGCACAGCTGCTGAAGGTCAAACAAAACCTATAAAAAACACTCACGTTAGTACAAGGCGTTGTTTAAAGACAGTGATTTTTGGAAAGCCTGATTTGATGGCTAGATTTTGACACTGAAACGGAGTTTTGAAACACTAATATTTTCCTACAATCCCTCAGTGAATAAGGTGTGCTGTCATCAAGACTATAAGTGGGGTGTGTGGTGGGAGTGTTGGCCATCTTCCCCTCCAGCAATGTACTTATAAGGGAGGAAAGTGAAGCCAACTATGCCTTCTATTTAAATATCCCTCTGTCCCTCACAATTCCTTCCCATGGCTGTTCCACCAGGTCATGGGAACCCACTCTTGGGCCCTTCCTCTGCAACTGCTCCTTGCTTGAGAAAGGAACTCAGAAATCTCTGTCTTCTTTTATTGTCTTCAGTAAGGGTGTTAGGCTCACCCTTCCTCATTTAGTTATGTTGTATCTTTGAAAGATTAATGGTGCTTCAACTCACTACTGCCTCTGGTCTTGTCAATCTCTTATATGCATATGCTCCAAATCTCTCTGCTTCATTAGAATCAAAGGACTGCTTCTATGATGAGCGTAGTCCTTTAATAATATTTCATAGAATGAAAAAATCCTCTTTCTTTGAGACTTCAATGCAAGGGTTGGTGCTTGGGCCAGGGCCAGTATGCTGCCTGGCCTTACTGTTTGGGCATCCATGGTGTCAGCAAAATGAATGAAATGGACATTTGCTTGAGCTATGTTTGTACAATGAGCTATGTATAACAAATTCTTTCTTCAATGTTAAACCTCAATACAAAAGTATCTTGGTGCCACCCACGATTTGGACACTGGCATTAGCTTGACCTGATTATCACCCACTCATAAGACTTCCATGATGTAATTATTACATAATCCTATCAGTGTTGACTGTGATACCGATCATTCATTGGCATGCACTATAATCAAATTACATCCCAGGAAATTGTACAAGAGCAAGAAACTCTGTTACGAATAAATGCCACGTCACTGAAAGCTGAAGGCACACCATGTCAGTTCATTAAAACTCTCTTCAGGGCTCTGTCATATCTTAAGCTGTGTCATGCTGCTGCGGAAAAATGGATTCAGCTCGAAGGAGCCATCTGTCAAACTGCCTTGGACTCGTGTGGTACTTGTGGCATTGCAGCTTAAATGATTGGTTTGATGAGAACTCATCTGAAATTGATCTCATTCATAGAAAAGAAACAGTCAGCTTTTGTTAAATACGTGTGACCTTAGCCACTCCATCTTTCAGGGGCATTGAGAGATCTGGCAAAAGGTCAAACATACAGCAAGACACTGTGCAAATGATTGTTGGCTACAACTACAAAAGTATCCAAAAAGCTGCTGACTGAGGTGCCATGCAAGCAATGTATGAGGGCATCAGAAAAGCTCTCAGGCCTGTTCTGAGGAAGAGTGCCCCTTTAAAATCATCCATGGGTGAAGTCATCAATGACTGTAACAAGCAGATAGACTGATGGGTTGAACATTACTCGGAAATCTACTGTCATGAAAATGTGGTCTGTGACTTCGCTTTCAATGCACTTGAAGACCTCTCAACCCTGACACTGCTTGACCATGAACCTACCGTAGATGAAGTAGAAAAAGCCATTGATCAGCTTGCTTGTGGTAGAGCCCCAGGTGTGGATTGCATACTGGCTAAAGTTATTAAGTACAGGACATCTGTCCTCCTCTTCCATCAGCATGAATTAATATGTATGTGTCGTAGAGAAGATGAAGTTCCTCAAGAGATGAAGGATGCAAGCATAGTCACTCTGTACAAAAACAATGGTGATATGAGCAACCGCAATAACTATCACAGTATATCCTTACTTTTCATCATTGGGAAGCTCTTTGTTAAAGTTGCCCTGCTAAGACTGTAGACCCTTGCAGACAGAGTCTACCCTGAGTCTGAGTGTGGTTTCAGATTCAGTAGATCCATGATGGATATGATATTCTTTCTGAGACAGCTACAGGAAAAGTGCTGTGAACAAAGGAAATCTCTGTCTGTAGCATTTGTCAATCTCACCAAAGCTTTCAGTCTTGTCAGCAGAGATGGTTTGTTCCAAATCCTGAAGAAGATTAGCTGCCCTAGTAAGCTCCTGGGCATCAAGTCCTTCCACATTAGTATGCATGGAATGGTGCAGTTTGATAGGTCATGTTCGGAAGAACTTGAAATCAAGAGTAGTATCAAACAGGGCTGTGTTTTAGCTCTGTCACCTTTTGGGAATTTCTTTGCTTTCCTACTCAAATATGCATTCAATGGCAGTTCAGGAGTATACTTTTTGACCAGATCAGATAGGAAACTCTTGAACTTTGCTCATCTCAAAATGAAAACAAAAACCCTTGTTCATGAAATGCTCTTTGCCAATGACGCAGCAATTTAGTCATTCAGAAGCAGGAGTGCAGAGTCTCATGGATTGCTTTTCTTGTGCTTGTGACAATTTCTGCCTGACCATTAGCCTAAAGAAGACATTAGTCATGGGTCGACAAGTTGACTTCCCTCCTGAAATTAGAATAAATGATGAAAGCCTGGAAGTGGTTGAAAAAAATCACTTACTTGGGCTCTACCATCTTGCAAAATCTTGGCTTGGAAGCCAGAATTAATGCTTGCATTGGAAAGGCAAGAAACACTATGGCTAAACTTGAGAATCTGGGAAAACAGAGCGGTCACTTCATCTACAAAGATGTCTGTCTACAGTGCTTGCCTACTTAGCTCTCTGTTGTATGGCAGTGAAACATGGACTTCTTATGCTAAGGAAGAAAGAAAACTGAACAGTTTCCATCTTCTATGTCTCTGCCATATCCTGGGCACAACATGGCATGACAAAATCTCCAAATTCGCTGTTCAGGAATGGGCCAAGTTACTCACCATGTTTATGCTTCTGAGACAGAGACGTCTCCATTGGTTAGGACATGTGAATCATATGAGTAATGGCCGAATCCCCAAGGATATACTGAATGGTGAGCTGGCCGCTGGCAGATGTCAACTTGGATGGCCCAAACTCCATTTTGTTGATGTCTGCAAGAAAATCCTTTGTGAGCTGCACATTGATGGTCTACACTGGGAATCAATTTCTTTGGGCTGCTGCGAGCGGAAAGTCGCCGTGAAGCAGGGCCTATGTTGTTTTGAGATGGAGAGGGTCGATGATGACCTAGAGAAGAGGCATCACAGGCAGGCAAGACAAAACTCAACATGCCAGTGCAAGCTCAATCAAGTTTGTATGTGCAACCTGCTGGAGGCTTTGTTTGTCGTGCGTTGGACTCTTCAGCCACACAAGAAGCTGCGGTGGTACCCAGTAACCCATCAAAGGTTCAGTCTCCATAGTCTGTCGAGACTGATGGTTGCCAATGATGAGAGGGGAAAAGGGAAGTCAAAGCTGTGTAGAAGTATCTGAAAAAGAAAGGAAGGGTTTCGAGTTGTGCGTTTTAGGGACAGGGGAGGCACTGCTCTCTTTTATTTCCATCTCTTTACCCTCTATTGTTTTCTCCTTTCAAGACATTACTTCATGACCCATCTAAGCTTGCCTGGGGCATGAAGTGGAACTTTCTAAGTAGTGGCAGGGAGGTCTGAGCATTTGAGGAGCTATTGCATGCTGTTGCATGAAGATTGGGGTGAAAAAGGGTGGGGATCAGAGCTGTGTAGTAGGGGAAGTTATAGGAAGGTCCTATATCTATGTCCCAGCTGTCAGTCCTTCCCTATAAAAAATTGCCAGTGTTTCCATACAAAAAGTTGATTCCTTGTCTTGTTGCAGGAGATGCTTATTTAAAAATTGTTAAGCTTAAGAAAACAAAACTTTGAGAGATAAGAGCAAGGCACACCTTTCTTCTTAACTCCAGTTGAAAATCATTTGTCAGCAGCATAAGGATTGAAAGCCTTGGTTGTTTCTACTCAAAGTGGTGTAACATCAAGTGTTTTTTCCTAGATGTTTCTCTTTGAATTGGGCCAGTCTGTTTGCCTCAGTAATATTGGGACAGATAGATAGTATTGAACTCCAAGTAAATTACGCATGCTGCTGTTACTGTTACTTGAACATATTTATTCATGGATGCACTTATTTTGCATTAGGCTGCTTTTATCCGTGATGTTATGATGCCTGGAGAATGGGATGTTTGTGTTACTTCATATGAAATGGTAATCAAGGAGAAATCTGTTTTCAAAAAATTTAACTGGAGGTACCTGGTAATTGATGAGGCCCACAGAATAAAGAATGAAAAATCAAAGGTAAACTTTCTGATTTGCTTCAACATTTCTGTAATATATTTTCAGGAAGATTTTGTGGCATAATTTTCTTTGCATTGTTGTTGGTCATGATCAAATATCTTTTGAACATTTATTTTTAAAAATAATAGCTTGGGTTTCTTGGATTTGAATCTCTAAGGGCCTTGTTAAACCTTGTGCTGTGAGCTGCACAAACGTTGATCGGTGTTACTGCTAGCTTGAAGTTTGGAGCAGTCACATCCATATTCTAGAAACCTCTGTCTCCCATGTGCACAGCTGTAACTTATTGTTAGAGGCCTGATGAGCAGGAGCAGGACTAGGAGTTGTGGGTGGAAGTTGCACTACAGGGCTGGTGAGCCAGAACAGGATCTGCAAGCGAGGGTGTGAGAAATCCTGGGATGCTGGAGGACTTCAATTTGAGCGGCACATCTGTGGGGAGTGGCCACACCTTAATGGAACAGGAGCTGGATAGCGCAGATCAGAGAGAATCCTGCCCTGGAGTGGTGTAATTTTGAGCTGCATAACGAGTGCTTAAAACCACTTTAAGATATTAATGTGCAGACGATCCAAGGGTTAAGAGCTCCATGAGCTGCCCAAAATTACTGTGTAACAAGGCCCTAACACTGAATAACAGGGACTGTCATTGACATTAGTTGCAATGGTGGGTGCTTAGGACATCTTAAATTAAAAGAAGCTCTTTGAGTTTAAGCCACAGATTATTATAAATTTACATTATGTTTCTAGCTGTCAGAAATTGTCCGTGAGTTCAAGACTACAAATCGGTTGCTGCTGACTGGAACTCCTTTGCAGAATAACCTCCATGAGCTGTGGGCATTACTTAATTTTCTTTTACCTGATGTCTTCAACTCTGCAGATGTAAGTTGATATTGAAGTTCTTATTAATATAAATCAGATGACTTTCTGTAGAGGAAGGATGACTTGTTAGTTAGGATGGCCTGAGACTTGTGAGCCCTGAATTGAATTGGAGTAGTTCCAGGGTTGTGTCGTAGGAGCCAGAATTAGGGGACAATGCAAAACGTGGAGCAACAACATGACTTTAACTTATCTTCACTTAAAACTGCTACCTTTTTCCCTTTTAATGTCTTCCCTTTCTTTTTCTTTCACACTTCTTTCTATTGCTTTGAAGCAACTGCTTCCTTTCTTTATGCTTCATAACACTATTTCTGTTCATGGTTTATGGTTCCATTTTCTTTTCTTCTCTCATACCATTACACAAGCACTAAGATAGGAACTCAGACACTACGGTAATGGACATGGTATAAAACTTTAAACTTGAACAAAGTAGGCATCTCTCTCAAGAATACATGATTGTGTTTTGCGCGTACAATTTTTCATTTGGCTTACGTGTTTCTATAAGCTATGCATTTGGTAGAGAGTTGTGGCCTGAATCTTTTCTTGCTGCTAAGATGCCGTTGACTTCAGACTTATACCATTGTTAACAAGAGTAAATGAACCTCTGTTTGTGTCTGCTAGAAGAACAAAGTATGAATAATTTAATCATCATGGTGATGATGTGCATTTTTTCTACAGGACTTTGATTCCTGGTTTGATACTAAAAATTGTCTCGGTGATCAAAAACTTGTAGAAAGACTTCATGCAGTAAGTACTGAAGGCCATAATAATGTATAATTAATATAATTAATTTTAAAATTATAATTATCAATTTTCCTCTAATATTACTATTAAACGTTATGTGGAAAGGTCATTAAATAAGCGAGAAAATCTTACATATCTTAGATATGGCCTTTGTTTATTTTGTTACATTAATGTCTGTCAGAATTTGTTTAAGTGAGATACTTGCATCTAATTTCTCCTGATTTTTCTTTTGTATCACAATTGTTTGACATGGACCGAAATCAGAACACAAAGCCATGCAAACTAAGTTGCAGGGATTTCTTAAAACCTTTAATTATATTGAATATTCAGTTGGTGTGATTTCACCATCCCAGTGAAATAAAGACAGATTTTTTGTTTATCTGTGAATAATCCATGCTTTAGTGTGCGCAGGTTAGAATAATTTCTAAAATGTTCTTTGTTTTGTAATAATGAAACTTCATTATAGTTTCCAAATCATGTACCATTGAAATGGTATTAAAACTGAATAAATAGATATATAAGAACTTGGGTGTGGAGGGTCCTCCTCTCAAAGGGTCTAGACGCATATATTTGGAGCCATTGCAAAAGGGCAATGTCTGAAAAGGACAGTAGCTGTTACCTGCTAATTGTTACCTGGGTTTGATACAAATGTGGCAAACCACTCCAATTTTAACCCTGGATTAAGCAGTGGAAGGAGCCAAAATGTATACTGGGAGGACTATAAAAAGGTTGTTGTTCTCTCTTCTGTTCAGCAGCATCTTTTGAGAGTGATGAGAGTTATAACCTGTGCTTCCTTGATCTGTAGTACTTTGTCTACCTATGAAGAGTACATAAAGATAGTTTACTCTTAACTGTTTGCTGGGAAGATAGCAAAGCCATCAGCTTCACATCCCCTGGCCTGAATGTCATAGGGGAGCATGCTGTGGCAGTTTTTTAGTCTTGAGAGCTTTTGTAATGCCCTTCTTAACAGCCTGGTGAATTTAACACACTATTTGAAATGGGCAATTTCATTTTCCACTCAGAAGGCAGCCGCAACACGTCTGGTTGGAGAACTATATGAGCTGTGTGAGCAGTTCAGAATTTTGACCGATAAGAATGCAGGAATGAGCCTATTAAATCTCTCATCTGTAGGAATATTTATGATAAATATATCTCTGAAACTTTTTAAGGTTTTGAAGCCGTTTTTGTTACGTCGCATAAAAGGTGAAGTGGAAAAGAGCTTGCCTCCTAAAAAGGAAGTAAAGATTTACCTGGGACTCAGCAAAATGCAGAGAGAATGGTGAGTTATTTACATTAATATAAGATTGTTTTAAGGATAATGAAGAATCCTAAGGTACTTTATATAAGAACTGCGTGTTCTTTTTACTTTTGTAGTCATAGCTCTAAAATACATAGGCTTTGCATATAAAAAGGAACTAGTCTTTTCTGGTATTTCATTCTGGTATGTTTGGATATTAAAAAGCTCGGTTGCTTTAACTGAGAAGGATTAGAGAAAAATAGAATGTTCTCTTTCAGCTTTTTAAATGCTGGCAGCAGCAACCTGGGCAGGCAGACCACACCATGGCAGCAGCAGTAAGCAGACAAAGCTCTCCTCCCTACCCCTTGTCATCCATCAGGATTTGCAAAACTTGCTGCTTACACTTGAACACAGTAACCAGGACATTTCAGACACTCGTTCATATTTTAAATGTTCTAAAACTAAAAGCTAGACATTTCTCAAAATTCTTTATTAAACTTCAGGTATACACGGATCCTGATGAAAGATATTGATATTTTAAATTCAGCTGGGAAAATGGATAAGATGCGGCTGTTGAATATTCTTATGCAGTTACGAAAATGTTGTAACCATCCATACCTATTTGATGGTGCTGAGCCTGGACCTCCTTATACCACTGACACACATCTCGTCAACAACAGTGGTAAAATGGTAGCTTTGGATAAACTGCTGGCAAAACTCAAAGAACAAGGTGACTATGATCAGCAGTACAATAGTTATACTAAGCATAATAATAAATTAAATAAACATGTTTACAAATAGTTTTTGCTACGACAGAGACAAAGTGCTTTATTCACTGTGATCTGAAGGTTTTTAGTAAGATTCATTTTTTGTGGGGTTTTAAGTGGCAGATAAAAATAGAGGAATGGGGAACACAACCGTAAGAAGAAGAGAAGGAAGAACAAATCATAGGTAGGAAAATAAAAGATGAAGGAAAAATGGTGAAACTAAATTTAAATAAAAAATGTGCAATGGGAAGGAAATAGAAGAGGGGTGGTTTTGGGTGGGGTATGTGAAGAGTGTAAGTTAGGGGAGGAAGCAGGCCTTCTGATCCCATCAGGTTAATATTGCATTTAGGTAAAATGGCAGGAGGCTTCTACATGAGATGAAAGCAAGGACTGCAGTAAGGGCCTATCTGGGCTACAAATGTTTGTGTGTAAGGGGCTCCAGAACCTGGTTGCAGTGACAGTGGGGTTCCATATTTTAGATAGCATTTTCAAGCCCCAAACGTTCATTGTCATTCAAATACTGATAATATGATTTTGTGTGCTGTTCTGCTGTATGATTGTGCAAAACCTTATGACTGGTAAATTAACTCATGCTGATGCAATGCTAGTGCAACATATGTGGCAGAGTGTAGGATTTTAAGTTTAAGAAGCCCTAGCAATTAAGATATTAGGGTTAAAATTTTAGATTTAATATTTTAGGGTTTATTTTAAATATGTTTCACCAGAATATTCACAAAGTCCTGCAGTAGTCTTGGGGCTTGGGAAATTGAGCAATTTTCCTTAGACTTCTGATTAATTTTGGTTTTGACAACTCTGCACATCAAGCACCCTTATAGTAATGTCTTTAGGAATGTTTTCTTGTTTCTTCACTTGTTTCCTGTTGGGATACTACTCTATAAATGATCTAAATACCACCTTGAAAAAGTTACAGAGTTGGATTTGAAGGCCAATCCTAGTAAAAGAACTGTTTAAAAAAATAGAACTTGAATAAGCGGAGCATTTGATAATTAGAAATGTAAATATAGTCCTCTGTTAGTTCTTTCTGTGCCCCTAACTTCTGTATAACTGGTTCTGTGATAAGGTTGTTTTGTAAAAAATTGTTATTCTGTATTATTTTCTTAGGTTCCAGAGTTCTCATTTTTAGTCAGATGACCCGCTTATTGGATATTTTGGAAGATTATTGCATGTGGCGTGGGTATGAATACTGTCGATTGGATGGACAGACACCACATGAAGAAAGAGAGGTGAGAAAAATACACTAGGTTTTTTAATTGCACAGATTCTGTCTTGGGATGTCTGCATTTAATTTGCAACTGAAGCCTCTTGATTTGCTTAAGTAAAAATTCAGTTCTGCATAAAGTATATTTGTTACTTTTTTAAACGTGGTAGTATTAACAAGTTTGAATATGCTTGTTTCACAAATGAAATTGGACTCTAATTGAAAAGGTGGCATATGGTTCAGACTATTTCTAACCAGTTGCTATTCTAGACCCTAAACTTACTATTTACAGCCCATTAATGTGTCTGTGCAGAGCATCACTGACTTCACTGGAGCACCATGTTGGGCCTAGCAATCCACTTGTTTGTTGTAAAAAGTAGGACAGGACCAGGGCCATGATGTAGGGCTTATTGTAAGAAACAATACGACCTCATAAAACATTTCATTAGTGTAAAGAATGTCACTGGTTTGCACATACAAGTCTAAAGACTTTCACTGCCTTTTAAAGTTGGTGTGTATAGGACAGATGGAGTTGGCTCTTTCTCTCTCTCAGCCTAGGAGGCTATATAGAGTCCCTCAGGTGGGCAATTATTGCACTGAAATCTTTTCTGTAGCTGTCTCCTGATCAGAGTGTATGTGGCCTTGGGTGGTCCCCAGATAATCACTGGTTCCATTGTGTAACAACATTGTTATCTTTTCCTTGCTATAGGGATTGATCTGGGGGAGCGCAGGCCCATCCTGCTCCACTTGGTCCTGTCCTGGGACTCTGCTTAGCTGTGAGGGACAGTCAGGCAAACCTCTCTCAGCCCTTGTGATACAACTCCCTGAGCCATTGCCTGTCTTCTGCATCAAAAAGTCTCTTATCCTTAATTTGGGATTCTGTCTTAATGTCCTTAATATCCACGGTTGAAGCTATTCCATCATCTTTGGGCCATCAGTGCAATATCTGGAAATAGTTTTGCCCTTGGGAATATGTCCTTGTTAGGTCAAGATGCCCAGATGCTTCCCAGCCTGTACTGACCACTCCTCCCTGGCTCATGTTCTGTGTGGAGTCAGGAGTCAGAAGTACCGTTACCTGCTCTCTACTTGGGCTTAACTCTTCTGCCTCTATGTTAAATTAACAAGCCCCAGTGTGGCATATAATAATTAATTTTAAACAAAATAGTCATAAAATGAATATTTGTTAGAATATTCTGCACTTCAATGTTTTTTTTTTGTCTTTTAGGAAGCAATAGACACCTTTAATGCTCCCAACAGCAGCAAATTCATATTTATGCTGAGTACCAGGGCTGGAGGTCTGGGGATTAATTTGGCCACTGCTGATGTGGTTATTCTTTATGATTCAGACTGGAATCCTCAGGTGGATCTTCAAGCTATGGTGAGTAAAAATTGAAATATAACTAAAGTTATCCATATAAAATCAAATTATGATATTGATAGAACTCCATAAAATGTGTATTGGAAATTTTCAGTTTTAGCATTTACATATAATCCCAAAGGCTATGAAGTTGAATGGAAAAAATATAACCTAAATTGTGGAAGAAACTGTAAATTTCTTGCCCCGAAAATACTTATCTAAATCCTCTATACTTTGCTAATGTTTTGTGCCCCAAAATTTCTATTTCTAATTACTATTTCTAGTTCTAATTACTATTTTGTACCCCTGAATTTCTCTCCTGAGATAGTTAGTTATAATTTATGGGATGCTTCCGGATTATTCCAGAAGTGTTATCTGAATGTTTATTCAGGAAAACAAAAAGGTTTGATGTAGGCATTAAAATACTAGTCAAATATATGAAGATGGAAATAATACTTGTTAGTCTCTCGGGTATTTTAAAGGTAGGAAGCCACATTGGGAGTTGGGATTTGCTATTGATATTGTTTTGAATGCGTAGTAGTGGCTGTCATTTGTCATCATTTTAGCTGTTGGAACACTTGATTGGATTTGGGTCAAAAAACCTGAAAGATATTAAGCAATTATGAGTATTAGGGCCGTAGCATAAGGCTATGTCATTAGTTTCCATTCATTTTTGCTGCTTGTGTAAATTTTTCAGAGAGGATCTCTATGTTTTCTTGTTAGAATAGATTGTCTTCTAGTTGAACTTAAGAAATACTTATATGCAGTTAGAAGATATCAGGCAGTAAATGTACAGAAACCTGAGCTAGCTTAAATCTAGCTAACTTGGGAAACTACTGCAATTAACTTGAAGTGATGAGAGCTGTACAAGATCGCCCAGGGTCCTGGGTACTAAGTTGATGGCTGAAGCCCGGTGCTATAGCTAACACTAGACTTTAAAGTTGGATGAAGGGCAAGTTGCATAAGTACGTATTGGTTGTATATTTATTTATTTAGATTTGTATCCTACCCTATCCAAAAGGCCCAAAATGGCTTACAATAAGCAAATGAACCACAGACAGGATTCCCCAAAGAGTACCCTAAAACCTGAAAACTCCAACTGCCCTCCTCACCATAACCAAAGTTCGACACAAGTGAACCCTCCTGCCAATTCCAGCCATGCATCCCAACCAGCACTCTCACAATATAAGAAATCTCTTTCCACCCCACCCACCCTCACTTAATGATGTAAATTGATATCAACTCTGATTCCAGTCACTCTAAATCTGTGCTAATATACCTAAGTTCAGGCAGAAACTGTTCCAGCATTTAAAATACTACGTTCACAATGGTTTTACAAAAACATTTTGGTAAAAAGTAATTTGTTCTTTTCTTGGTTTTTTGCATATATTAAGAGTGAAATATCTCTACTAGTTTTAGTTTTCTCACTTTTTCTGGTGTTTGCAACAGATAATTTTGACTGAAATGTCTGTTACTATTGCTTACAAGACTCTCTTGTATTGTTGAATTACTTGATCTGTTTTTATTAGGATCGTGCACATCGTATTGGTCAAAAGAAACCAGTAAGGGTATTCCGACTTATTACTGAAAATACTGTTGAAGAAAGGATTGTAGAAAGAGCTGAAATAAAACTGAGACTGGACTCTATAGTTATTCAGCAAGGTATCAAGTACTATTGTGTTTATGTCCAAGAACAGAATTTAACTCCTTCACTTAGCAAAGGGGGAAATATACAAAGTGCAAGGCAGTGGAGTATTGGGCCTGATGTTTGTCGTGGCAGAGCTCTTAATTGAACTTGAAATAATATCAAATATCAGTTTCAGGTCCTGATTTTTCATTTAATTTCTTACTCCATGGGTTAAGTGTTGCGCTAGGTACCAACTCCTAAAAATGATATAGCAAACCTTCCCCCCACTAAACCTCCCCCAAAAACCAGCTACTGTTACAGGGCCTCACTGAATAGGCATGCTGTAAAAGAAAAAAAAATGTTCCAGGGGTTTTCAGTATAATAGGTACAGCTCTTACGTAAGTTTTTGCAGGTTACTGAACCACCATTTAAAGCTTGGTGTTCTGCATATATATATAACAGAACATTTAGCTTAAGGTGAGGTATAGGTTCTCACTGCCTTCCTTTGCTACTAATTGGGAGAGTGGTATTGGTCAGATGGAAAGGGTGCTTCTGGCTGGCTTTGGCCTTGGGAAGGTTGAGCTAGACCTGAACAAATAGTAAATTCACCAAGAAGTGGAGGTGCGGGGAAACCAAAATGATTGTGAATTTAGGTTGAATTTAGTGCACAAATTTGGCTGAAAAATGAGGTAAAGTTTTGAAATGTAAAAACCATTTTATTTGACATTTGCAAAATAAAACATTCATCTCTTTGTTTAAAGTTGACCTATATTAAAAGAGTAAGATATTAAAAAGGCTTACCTAACCTGAAAAGAAAACATAACTTTTTTTGGTTTGGGTTGACCAGTTGTATGTATCAAAATTTTTGTTTTATTTTGCCAAAAACCTTTAAAATATTGGTTTCAAACTCAAATATTGTTTCCAGTTTCCCTAAAAAATCCATTATTTCCCTATTGCTATTGAGAGCCTTGGTTTAAAGCATTCATTTTGTTTCTCCTACTTCTAGGAAGACTCATAGATCAACAGTCTAACAAACTGGCAAAAGATGAAATGCTGCAGATGATCCGGCATGGAGCTACACATGTTTTTGCTTCTAAGGACAGTGAGCTAACAGATGAAGATATTACCACCATCTTAGAAAGAGGTGAAAAGAAGGTGAGAGCATAATTCCGTATGGAATTTGGAGTTGTCACTGACTTCATTTTAAAATGAATAATTGTAAAATAAAAGAGAGTATGGTTCTTAAGAGTTAAGAATCACCAGATCTATTTAATTTGTAAATCTTATTTCATATTGACAGAAAAATATAATTTGACAAGATTTGTATTTATTTTAGTAGCAGCTTTCTGCTATCTACAATAAAAAATGTCTTTGAAAAGGAAAAGCTGCAGTTTGCTGATTGCCTCCCTCATATTCTTTACTTTATTGCAAAGTTATATTGTAGTCTATTCCCATAAATTTGCTGACAAATACATCAGCAAGTTGCAATCTAACGGTATCGTAGGACTGTTTCCTTAAAGTGGCCTAAAAGCTGGAGGACTGCAAAACAAATGTTCCATAGTTATTTTTCTAGACCATGTTCTGCAAGAATGTAATAATAATAATAATAGTTTTAACATCACTTTTTTAATTAAAAAGTTTTTAGAAGTGTATAAACCATATGCTAATATGTTTAATAGATGTAGAGTATTTAATGTTAAAAGATAGTAAATAGTTTATTAAGTAAATGAAGTACTCTTTCAGCAGGGAAGAGTTGTGCATATATTTAAAAAAAACCCGAAGTTTATGTTGATATTGATTTGCATTATGACAGCATACTAACTTAACCTAATGATAAGTGCATGTAGGGGAGCAAAGGACTGAAATAACAGGTGTGTGTGAAGTCATTAATATGTAAGAAAGGCTGATTTTTCCCAAATTTTATACAAATGTAAAACTTCCCATGTTGCTAATAGCACTGTCATTTTATTTTAGACAGCAGAAATGAATGAGCGATTGCAAAAGATGGGGGAAAGCTCTCTAAGGAACTTCACTATGGACACAGAGATGAGTTTATATACCTTTGAAGGGGAAGATTATAGAGAAAAACAAAAGGTAATTTTCTCTTATAAAATAAATGAAATCATGTAGTCACTTTGGTTAAACCATAGGTTGAATGAGTCTGATGTCAGTGGAGATGGTGTTGCAGGATCAGAGCTTAACTTGGTAATTAATATTTCAGACCACTTTCTACTGCTTGAGACACTAGGGAACAGTCTCAGTATGTGACATTATCCACTGGAATATCTGGCTATATGGGAGATTTCCAAATAGGAGCTACTGCTTCTTAGAACAAAGGAGTCAAACGTACAGCCCTTGGAGCTACGTTGCCTGGTCCCTTGGGCTTGTAGAAGTGATGGTAATTTGGCAGCTCGGCTCACAGCTGAAATCTGGGACGTGGAGCCCTGTTGGGGCCTATGTCAGAGGCAGGACAGTGAGCAACAGCTACAGTACCTCTGCTGCCACTCATTCTGCCACCATGACTGGATTTGGCCCTTAAGGAGCCCTGCAATAAGGATGTGACCCATGTCGGAGTGAGTTAGACACCCCTGGCGTAGCTTATAGCATGCAAGATAGTCATGCTGCCAGAACAGGATTGGGGTAGGATGCAATGTGATTGGGCTAGTTACTTATTTGAATTCTTTGAGACTTGTTTGGCAGTGCCGCTTATGGAATGAAGCGCTACGTATCTTGTGCGAAGCTTTGGTCCCTGCTTCGATTTGGCAGAGGTTCACCCTGATTCGGTGGCCGAATCTCCAAATCCGAATTGACTCGAAGGACCCTTTAATCTCTCCAAATTGGATTGGAACCCTCCAAATTGATTCAGAGAGATTTGGAAAGATTCGGAGATTCAGACATAGAGATAGCTGTAAATGTTTTTTTCTACGTACCTCTAACTAGCAGGGACTTGTGAGTCCTGCAGTGCTGGGACACGTGGAGTGTACCACAGAAGCACGAGGGGCTCCCAGCGCGCTTGGCAGCAGACCTGGAAGTGGACCAGAAGTGGCACTTCAGGGTTTACTGGGGAGTGCGCGGGGGGGGGCCTGCATCCCGCTGGCTTGGCAACTGGTGCCTCCTGGGTCTGGGGGGCAGCCGAGGTCCCCCTGTGGCCAAACACAGAGCCAGGGAGGCGCGGGGGGGCGGGCCTTTAGCATGCTCCCCAGCAGACCCGGAAGTGGACCGGAAGTACTTCTGGTTCACTTCCAGTTTTACCACTGAGCACATGGAGGGCCCCCCCGCACTCCTGTGGGAAGCTCCATGCGCTCCAGCATCGCAGTGATCATGAGCTGCGCCTGCTACCTCAAGGTATGTAAAAAAAACTTTTAAAGCTGTGTCTGTGTCCAAATCACTGATTCTCCAAATCAGCACTGGATCTTCAGATTCAGATTTGGCCAAATCGAATCAGAGACAGTGATCCGAATCAACAAACCACTGTCCCTGATTCGGGCTGAATCTGAAATGAATAGGGCCCACTTCGCACATCCCTAATACCTTGCCTACTTACTTTTCTGGCTTGCTTCTATACCACCATGAAATCCCTGTGCTATGTTTAAAATGTAATTGTCAAGTGTTTCATGCTCCTGAAACTTGTGGGAGCATCAACTAATGCTAAGCCATGAACTTAACTACTAGTGTTTTCAATAAAAATATTGCTGCTTCTTTTGTGCACCATCTTCATTTGACTTTTCAACCTAAATTTCCTAAAATAACCTTGTTTGGGATATCAGAAAGACGTTTAGAGCTATTTAAATTGTAAATGTTTTGTTTGTGTGCAGATGAGTATGATGGAATGGATAGAGCCTCCAAAACGAGAGCGCAAAGCTAATTATGCAGTGGATGCGTATTTTAGAGAAGCCCTACGTGTTAGTGAACCAAAAATTCCCAAGGTAAAAAACATGGATTTTTACTATCTACCTTATTTCAGGTAGTAAAATTAGCATATATTTTACAGAGTTATGTGTTGCCACTATTCTGAACTGTGGCAGTTTAATAACTGAAGTATAAATTGTATCGTGTTAATGCATATACACATATATTCTTTTAAAGGCTCCACGACCCCCCAAACAGCCAAATATTCAAGATTTCCAGTTTTTTCCGCCACGATTGTTTGAACTTCTGGAAAAAGAAATTCTGTACTATCGTAAGACTATAGGCTATAAGGTAGTAATAATTTTTCTTTCCTTTTCAAATGAATGGAATGTGTTAGCATTCATATTTATTGTAACAATGAGGATAAGTAAACTTAAGGACAAAAAGAGAAAAATGGAAACAATAGCAAAAGAAAATGTGTTTCAATAAGGTATTTTAGGGTCTTCATATTTATATTTGTGTGGAAGTTACGCATTTTTGCTACTAATGCTAAAAACCCAGTTTCTATTACATCTGTAGTTTTTTTTACTTCCCTTCAAACCACATATCCAGGTAGGTTGGTACATATTTCTAGGTGGAATGGACCAAATGAAGAAAAGATTAATGTTTCGTATATTTTCTTGGTCTTTTAAAACTGCTTTATGTTTGATGCAAGTTGGGAAAAGGCATGCTTGAATAAAGCAAAGTCACCTTCTGGGGTATGAAATTGGTCTTTTTATAGTGGCTACTGTGTCTTATGCAGTAAGTATTTGAAGCAACTTCAGATGCTTATCTAAAGTTCCTTTGTTGTAAGCTTGGTTAAACAGTATTTTCTCCATCTTTTATAACACAGAGTTATAAAAATTAGAGAAATTTAACAAATCACTTAGTCTTGTGATTTAAAAAAAATGCAGTGTGTTAATATTAAGACATTAATATTATACAGTTATCATGCTTTAATACTATAAATATATTTAATTTCAGTGTATCACTTTCAAACCACCCACAAACATTGTTTGAGTTATCTAACTAGGCCTTAGCTGCTGAATTCATTCCTGCATTGGCTTCAAGGGAAGCAGAGAAACTGAAGGGGGAGATGATTCTTATTTCCTACACAGGTGCTGATTTTCTTTTTACACTGGTTTTACTCTCATGTAACTCCATTGACATTAGTGGAATGACTCTTTTATTTACACATGTAACTCCATGCAAAAATTAGGCTAGTTGCAATTAAACAGGGCACAGAAAGAAGCTAAAGCTAAGCAGTTTGCTAAAACTAAATAGAGATCGAATAATCAGCGGGCTTATACAAGGATATTTATGTGAGAAATACTAAGACTGAAGTATGTGGCAGCATATATGGAATCAGCGTGATGAGAAGGTCCAATACAATATTAGTAAGAGGGAGTGTTTTTTAACTTAAAGTAGGAAATGTCTATAAAAGAAGACTTGGGAGGGAAAATGGGAAGGATTCTAGAAGACTAGTACTAAATAAGAAAAAAAGGAGCAAAGGTTTTCCACAGTTAATGTGTTCAAGCCTCTGTAACATGGATGAAAGAAGCATTGATCTTTGTAATATGAAGTAGGAAATAAGGAATGTTAAGAGGTGGTATCAATTAGTGGCAGGTAAAAGAATATTCAGATAATTAAATATATTTAAATCAGCAGGACTGGATGAGATTCATGTAAGTTTTAAAGGAAGGAAGAGGTATCGCAGCCAGTGACAATAATTTTTGAGAACTCATGGAGAACAGGTGAGGTTCTGGAGAAAGGCAAATTTAGTAACAGGCTTTAATGTGGAAAAATAAAGCTCCAGGAAAATTCAGAGGCTGAGACTGAGGGGAGTCAGGTATGTTAATCGTAATGCTGTGTAATGTAGTAGAATCCAGCTTACGAAGTTTCTTAAACTTTGCTGTAGTGTTCCACTTAAAGTGAAAAAAGCATGCATGTACTATTAGTCTTCCCCTTTTATATATGTAGGAGTCTGTCTTGGAATTAAATAAGAAAAAAGAATTAACTTGGTGTAGATTATAAATATGTGGGGGAGGTGCCTAGTGTATTTCTGTAGTAATGGTCAATATATTTCTGATATCGACAAATAATTTTGCCTTCTAAGCTAAAATGAACATAACAAGTATAACAAATTAACAACATTGTAATCGTTTGCTCAGTCAGCTTTGGCTGCCTTGTAAGTAAAATAATCTGTATTTTTTTTTTTTTTTTTTTTTTTTTTTTTTTTTTTTTTTTTTTTTTTTTTTTACTTTACTGCCCTGATTTTAAGAGCTTGCCTAGGAGGAATTGATAGCTCTCTAGGTCTGCTAGCCCTATGGTTTGAAAAACACTAAGCATCTTGAGCACACCTTGTTAACTAACAGATGCCATTTGCTGCTTTAGGTAGGAGGGAGACACCATTTTCAAGTTGTCTTGATATAAGAGCAGAGGGCCTTCTAGAACAGGTCAGTGAGAATAGATGGGTCTAGTCCAGTATCTTCCCTTCTGCAGCAGTTTGGAGCATTGGTATTAGACACTTAGAGAAAAGATGAAAAGTTATCCGTATGAATTGTGCTTTGCCAATTGTGTAGTATCATAAAATGCCACGAAAGAAAATACCTTGTTGACTTCAGCTGGATATTGCCATACCTTTATGCATTTGTATAGTTAAAGATAATTGCTTTTAATTTCATAGTGGTGCCAGGTACTTGCTTTGTAAGAGAAGGCAAAAAAAAAAAAAGAATCAAACTTGCTTTAATATGTTAAGGTTTCTTTCACTTTGTGTTTTTTGTTAATGTTATACTCCTTTCTTCATTGAAAAAGTCATTGTGGAAGAGAGGAATTCCCTGAAGACTGGGATTGATCCTCTTCTTTCACCTTTACAATATGGGCACTGACAGATGTGCAGCTCTTCCTCGGTCTAACTCATGGCACTTCACAGAAACTGTCGTGAGTTAGACCAACCCTCCTGATCTAACAGACGTTTGCTGTTGGATCACAAGGTTGTCTTATCCAGCTCCCCTTTGAAGCTGATTGGGGGAGAGAAGCTGCATGTTTTCAGTGTCTGTCCCATAGCCCCACCTCCCTCTCCAAGCTCCTGTGCTCTCTCAAGATGGGAGTGGGGGGAAGGTAGGGGAGTGAGTTCAGTCTGGGGTTTCCCCAGCTGCACTGGAGTGGGGGTGGGTGTGGATTGGATTGGAGTCCCTCACCTTGAGGGCCTCCAGCCCACCCGCCCCACCTTCCAGTGCTGTCTGGGGAACCCACAGACAAAACTCACTCCTCTCCCTTTTCCCCCCTCCTGTCTTGAAGACAGTGCATGAAGCAGAGCCCTGCCCCCAGCCATGCTGCCAGACATTAATGAAGGTGCTCAACTTTGGAGTGTTTTTATTTGAGCCTCATGCAATAAGGGTTCAGATTGTCCTGCAGTTGGGCAGTTTAAAGTGTTCTGCAGTTGTGCACTTCTGTTAATGCGCAGCTGTTGAACTCTTTCAGTGGCTGATTGTGTGACAAACTGTCATGTCTGTCAGCACCCTAAGGAGTAACTACATTGAAATCTAAAACCTGTGCACAAAAGTCACATCCAGTATATTTTTACTTTTATCAAAATACTCCGTTTATCTCTACATGTTAAGGAGAAATTTATTTTGCTCCCATTTGCCTGCCAGAGTTCGGTACATTTTTGATGTTTCTGGGTTTGTATTGTTACAGACTTTAGAAAAGCCCAGTAACCATTACACTCATTTTGTCTCTATGTAGACAGCTCACATAAACAATTGCACGAACAGAAGCAATTTAAAGAGGTAATGATTTATCTGTATTCAGCGGTTACTGTATCATCCAGTGTAAACAGGATGTTATAATCACGGAAGCTAGGAAGACCAACAGACTGTGTATGGGTCATGTTTTATATCTTAGCAAAGTTAAAGCTAAAGCATCTACATACATAAAGTCCAGAGAGAAAAATCTGTGGATAGATGTTAGGGGTGCAACAATGAGGAAGGAAGACATTATTAGTATATGACTTCAGTTATAAGTCAGAATTAAATGAGCTAAATATATATTGCATGTATAATAAGACAATGAAAGCCAACCTTTTTTATGAGGCAGGCCACAAATTGGCTCGGCACCCTCCACAAGTGCTACTCCATCGGCTTCCCTTGCCCAGTCTGCTTATCTTCTTTCTGCTCTCTGTTTGATCTGCTGCTTTGATTTCTACTTCCTGCCCTATCTGCAGCTGTGCTGCCTGTCCCAGTCCTGATCTGCTGTGTGCCACACAGAGGTTGCCTGTACCATTTGTGGCACATATGTTAAGAGAACATTGAGATAACAAGGTCAAGTACTCAAGAAATGCATGTGCAACCTTAATTGGTCCTTCTGCATATATATTATGATAGACTTGTGATTACATTATCACATTATATTTTGTCCATAGGATTCCTGCATCATTTATTGCATGTTTTGTTCTTACTTTGCATCTTGGATTTTATCTGACCTTAATTTCTTCCTACCTGTTGGGTCTTAGCCTTTTCCCCTTCCCTCCTTGGCACTGAGTGTCTTTGCTGAGCCAATCCTAGTCTTATACTCCACCACCACTCCAGTACTAGGCTCTATTAGCTATCTATGAATAGCAATGAGTCTTTGACAAACAAATGCAATAATAGAACTGCTATTTCAAATTTTGCCTGCTTATTCATTGTAATTCTTTTCCACCGTTTTAAAAAATCTTCATTTGCCCCTGGTGTTGCTTCAGGAGGGACAAACTCTCCTCTGGTGAACTCTCTCCAAAGGGCTTTTGTTCTGCAGTCCATTAGGAGTGCTTTTCACTGCTTACAGTGCAAAGTTGTTCTAAACTTTGCTTAACAGGCCACATAATTATCATCGCTTTAGCTGCCAAAGGAACTCACTACCATAAATGCTCCTATGACACCTGTCCCCTTTCAGCTGCTACATCAGGAAAAAAGGAGCTGTGACCAGAACCAAGTTGATCCCTGGCTGCCATAGCCTCTAAGTTTCATTATCAGTCTTTGGGTTTTGAGTAAGCATCTGGATAGTCACAGAATTGGAGAAGCACTAAAGTAATTTAAAGCTGCTTTTATGTTTCCCATTCTGGACTCGTTGCCAAATTATCTTTGGCTGGAATGGAGAACTTGAGTCTAGGAGAGTGGCTGTAATTACCATATTTTAATAATCAATTGTGAAACTTCATCTTGCATCAGATTCAAAGAGGGTTTGTCAACTGCAAGCGTCTCTGATCACAAATGCAGTTGTGGACCTCCATTTCTAGGTAGACTACTGAAGTGCACTATTTTGTGCCCTCAGTTTAACTGTATTATTATTATTAGCAGTGGGCCAAAACCTATCCTGTGAAATCTATGCCTGTTAGTTGAAAACTATGTACATTACTGCATAATACTTACCAGAAGAGGTCTAACTTGGGCTTTCAACTGAGAAATATTTTCTTTATTTGTAGCTGAAAAAATATTGAAAGCATTCTTTCTTTGTGAGATCTTAATAATAATGTTAGGAAGAAAAAACTGAGTTGATAAATGGAAGTCTGTCGTCTTTGAATTTTGGCAATGAATCATTGTAGGCAACTAATTTTGCAGAAGTAGAACTGACCTGGTATGAGCTGACCTCTGGTTACTGCTTTCATTTCATGTGCTATCACATTTAATTCAGCACTCTATATTTCTGCAAGAAGTGTCCTAAAATTTCAGCCAGAAATATGGACAGAATTGTGTTTTTTCTTCCTGCTCTTATACTGAATACTAGTTATTACAAAATATTACAACTTTGTTATTAGGAAAAAATGAATTCTTCTAAAATTTTGTTATAAAACCTACTTTTATATGGTTCATTCTTTTTTTTCTGGAGCAACAAAGCTCAGGACATAATATGGCATTTTTTAACTAGTCAGTACAGTACTGTTAGCTAGTTGATCAGTTTGCTGATTAATTGTGACTTTTTTTTAATTGTGCTACTAATCGCAATCACCTTTTTAAATCATTTGACAACCCTAATTTAAACCAACAAAAGCATGAATGTTTGTTAGTTGGGATTTAAAATTCATTCTTAATTCACCTGTTGTGCTTTGCTATGCCAGAATACATATAATGGTCAAGCTCACTACTGGGCACAGTTCCTTGCTGTTGAAATGTATTGATGAGAGAGATCTGCACAATTTGCTGTGAGTACTGCTGGAGTTCTGTGTCCCATGTGAAGGCAGGCCCTGAGTAGAGTGATTGTACAAGAGGTGTGGTGGACCTTTGTGCCAGGGAAGAAGATTTAGAGTGGTACAGAGTGTACAGACATAGACTGGAGCAGTAAGATGAGTAGGCAACAGGCTACCAAGTCCACGTATACCCAGTAGAAGCATCCTTCATCGTAAGTAGAGATAGTGGATGCTGCTCAACCACAAAGATTTATTTTGAGAATTTTGCCCTACATACGTTTCATTATCGATGAGAGGTCTGAGTATGAGGTGAAGAAATATTTCTTAGTATGTTCAGTAGTCACATGTTCAGATCAGACTTGATGTGATTTTATTTCTGTCTTACTCAGAATTCAATACAAAATATAAAGGTCACAAAATCTAAAGCTTGCAGCAGGGTAGGGAGGGACATAGGGCCACACATCTAGCACATTTTTCTATCTAATGCCATACTCTTCTTTCTTTAAATTGGCAAGGTTTTATACTTTTATAGTCTAGTTAGTAACCAATATAATTTATAAATTGGGTGCTGTATACATTTGTATTCACTCTCTGTTAGACATAGTTGTGCAGATTCTCAGCTAGTGTGATTTGTCATTGTTTCTTTGACTTTGATGACAAATTTGTTAAGTGTTGGGATCTACCCCTTCCAGTGTATTTTTAGGTCAGGCCAGTGTGCGCTTGACACAGGACCTTTGTGTGAGGAAGGTGAGCAGCGTTATTTAAAAAAAAAAAAAGTAAGTCTTAGATCATCATGAAGAAGATAAGGGTTGTATTGTTCTATTCCTGTGAGAAAAAATAATTGTAAAGGTTAATGTCTACCTTACTTTCTAATCACTGGAAAAGGTACTTTTATCATTTTCTTGTTGTCTTACAGCACTTCTGATATGACTTCCTTTACTTTTTAGACATCTAATTAACTTAAATCCTTTGGCTTCTTACCAGTGAGGTCTATTTTACAATGAAACAAAAGCCTGTAAGCCAAGAAAAAAAGAGTGATCGGCTTATGATTTGATAGGTGCACCTTGCCTGCAAGGGTAATATTTTCAACCTCATGATGTTTCTGTAAATTGTAAAAACAGCTGAAGAAAATGTTCTGGTAGTTATATGGCATGTTTTAAAAATATTTTTACTCCCACTATATCAAGGCAGCAGAAGTATTTCCTTTGTAGCACATACTCAGTTATCGAGGGCTGCATCAATCCTGTCAGACTTAACGTGTTTATAAATTGTAAAGCAGGAGTGATTTAAGCATGTACTTATAATCCTTAATAACCTTCTTCATTGCTGCTTGTTCATCCCTCTACTGCTCATTTTAGGTCCCTAGGAATCCTGACCTCCCAAATGCAGCTCAGGCACAAAAAGAGGAACAAAAGAAGATTGATGAATCTGCACCTCTTACTCCAGAAGAAACTGAAGAAAAAGAAAAGCTTCTCACTCAAGTAAAATTATAAGAGTAGTTGAAGTATTTGTTGTTCAGTATTGTATAAACAAAGGTGGAAATATGTGGAAGATTGCAGTCTATTTATAAAAATGGGAGTTCATAATACTGGCAGTGATAAATGCATCTAGTAACACTAAACTGATGTTAAAAGGCTGTGGAATTCGAAAAGCTGCAGACATAAAAACAGCTAGGTGTAATGAAAAATATCCCTGCTGTCTAACTGCGGGACGGGCTGCATTTAGCTGTCAATTCTTCTGTAGTTAACCATGCTCAATCTTCTTTTGCTTATCGTGCTTCATGTAGTACATTTAACTTGTTCTTTTCCTATTCAAAATAACTAGTCCTAATGGAATTAGTGGAACTCTTTTTTGGGCATTTTTACACATGCTTTGGGAGGCATGGAGGGTGCTTTAATTAGTGAGCTACACTAATTAAAAGTGCCCAGTCATTGCATGTGTCAGCTCCTTCAACGAGCTTTAGTGCAAAGTGCCCCGCTGCCATTTTTCAGGGATGCTGAAACATGTGATGCTAGAGTCTGCTAGAGCATGTTTATTTCTGCATTTTAGCAGACTTGCTTAATCTGAAAGGAAAGTCCCTAATTCTTTAAAAAAAAACTCTTTGGCAAGCTCTTGTACCCTTTTAACGTACTGTAATTCTAAATCTGAAGGCAGTTGAACTCTAGATAATAATTCATTTAAAGAATAAACTTGATATAACCAAATCCGTTGAATTGTAAAATACCTACCTCTTAGTTATTGAAAAAAAGTCTCCATTATACTTTCTCTAATACTAGAAATGCAGCTCTTTTAGTTTTTTGTTGTCACTTCCAAAGCTAAATTCCGTTTTTCTTATTGTATGTAAAACTTGCCATGCATTTGCTGGATGTTCTAAGAGCATTAAGAAATCAGTATTGAGCACTTTATTTTTTTAAATTAGTAAAATTAAGACAATTTTTCTAAATAGGTTATTTGTTCAGATTGTAGCATTTATGCTACTGATTTTGTTTGTGGTAAGACACTTTTTGAGTAAATAGATTTAAATAGGTTATTTTTTATAAGAACCAAAAAAAAAAAAAAGCAAGCCAGGAAATGTAGTATTTATGGATTTTAAAAGATATTTAACTAAAGGTTCACTTAGGCTTACTGTGCCTGTGGGGTTTTTTTTCCTCGTTGCAAGACTTTCTCCATCAGTACATTGTTCTCTCTGGCCACAGAAGTGTATTTCTTCAGGTGCTTTGATCTCTTGAGGCCTTTGAGTGTTTTTCTCTTCACGCTTACTTCAGTTAGCTGCCATTTGCTTGAAGATCTGCAGCAGTACCGAGACTTGGTAATGCATCCATTAAACACCATTGTGGATTTCTTTCTCTCCTACCCATTTTTACCAAACACAATTAAAGTCAGACAAGGGGAACCAAATCTCCAAAGGTCCATTTAGCCCAGTTTGACAGTGGCAGTATTGGGTGTTTTAGAGGAAGAGCATATGAACAGGGTGATCTACCTCTCTCATTCCCTCCCTTGCATCTACTATTATTAGTTTATAGATACATTTCTTTGTTCTGTTTAACAGCTAGGAATGGATCTTGTCTGTCAATTTGTCTAGTCCCTTTCTGAACCTGGCTATACTGTATTTTCTGCAGCCTCCTGTGGTAATGAATTTTACAGGTAAACTACATGTTGCAAAAAAGTTACATTCTCTTATAAGTTTTAAACATATCTCTTGCTAATTTTAATGGGTGCCTCCTAGTTCTAGAATTCTGGGACTTGGTGAATGATAATTCCCTATTCCCTTTGTTTGCACCCTTCGTGATAGTGTAGACCTCTCTCATATCCTCCTTCAGCCTTCTTTCCAATCTGAAGAGTCCTAGCCTTTTTAAGAGTCTTGGTATAGCAGCTGCTCCATCTCCTTGATCATCTTACTCTCCTTTGTACGTTTACTAGTTCTACTACATTCTTACTGAGATCCAGGGACCAGAACTGGTCCCTGGCATTTGCTTGAAGATCTGCAGCACTACCGAGACAGTATACTGTGCCCACACCTTGAATACTGTCAGCAGTATTCAGGGTGTGGGCACACCATGGATTTGTATAGATGTATGATGATATTTTCAGTTTTAGTTTCAAATTCCTTTTTAATGATGTCCATCATTTTATTTTTTATTTTTTTGATCAGTTCTGTACTTGGAACTGATGATTTTAGAGAACTGTCTGCAAGAACTCCAAGGTCTCTTTCCTGAGTTGTGACAACAAGTTCAGAACCTAGCTTGTGCGTGTGTTTTCAAAAATATGTATTTTTGTATATATAAATAAACACATATATATCACAAGACTTCTACCAATCTATCTTATGGCTGATAAGGCTCGCTTGACAGTCCAAAGCACATCATTACAATTATACTATTCATGTAACTGCACCTCATTCTGTACATATAATTGAGATGTATGTGTAGCATAATAAAACACAGTTTCAAATCTCACTCATCTTGACCAAATATTGGTAGATAGATTTATCATCTGCAGGTTACAGTTTCTTGATATTCTAGATGATGGTCCACATGATTTGGGATATTAACTGCTGCTCAAGAGGAAGATTTGTGTGACAGAATTTCATAGACGTTTACAATTCAGAAACTTACCTTCTAGGAAAAGGAATTTATTGCACTAAAAGCGTGGTATAATGGAGAAAATCCTTAGGAGAGATTTGCAAGGTCACAGTTTTGTCTAGTACTTTCATTTTCACCAGCTATAAAAAAAAAGTAAATACTTAAACCTCTGCCAGGGGCGATGCATAGGGCCTGCACGCGGGTTCACGTGCACCCCGGGCGCATGGCGGTGTACCCTCTGCAAAAAGGCACCACTGACACTGTCGGTGGTGCCTGCAGGCAGTTGCTGCTTGCCACCCCGTTGCTGGGACTTCCGGTGGTCTGTGACTGCGACTGCCGGTGGTCCATGCTTGCCACTGCTGGCGGCGCCTGCGGGTGGTTGCCAACCTGTGATTGATTCTTGCCAACCTACCCCCACTGCTGCCGGTGCTGCCGGCGTCTGTGGGAGCTCCCTGCTCACTGCCACCACGCTCCCGCCCCCACGGGTGCAGCCGTGCCCCCCCAGCCACTGGGGGGCACGTGCCATTCATGGCCTCTGCTGATGTAGCCATTGGTATTAGCATCTGTATTTAAAGTAGAATTTCTATATTGTGGATATGGGACTGTTTATAGAACCTGTGAAGTTTTGGACTCAGCTTGTTTGTTTGGAGAATTGACAATTTTTCTTACTTGTGAATGACATTTCTTTGATGAAAGCAGCTCAATTAATTTCAAACAACCCTTCAGGCTTGTGGGTTTTTTGTTGTTTTTTTTCGCTTATTTTTGATATTTCTTTTTTGGTTCTGTCTTTAAACCATAAGGTATCATCTTTGGATGATGTTTTTGTGCACTGTATCTTGTGTAGCTTTTATATATTTTTCATTGCATTTCTAGAAACATAACTAGTTTGCTGTTTGACAGTTCTGAAGAGCATTTCCACTTGATTGCATCTTGTCAGATTAGAGATCTTTTCTTGGCACACTTTTGCTTCCGTCCAGGTGCTTGCCTTATTCACAGTTCGTAAATGTTCTGAATAGATGCTATTGCGTTTGGTATTTAGGGTGCTTGGGAGACTTTCAAAGACACATGGAGCCAGGTGCTTCTCTGTCATTTTATTTACTTGTACCTGTACAAGTGTGATATAAGCTAAAATCCATTGGGTGTGGATTGAGTTTATTTTGTGGGAAAAATTCTACTTGCAGATAAGAAAATGTTCTTACTGATGCAAAAGGAGACATGCACAAAAATAACATTCTAGAATTTTTATGACTGAGTAATAACCTCTAGATAATAGAAGTTTATGGAAATCCTTAAAGACCATTAACCACTGTAATTATGTGACACTGTATTGAAGCATTAATAATTGGACTAAATGGTATACTCTTAAGACAAAAGATCTATTTCCACCTTGTAGTGACTTCTTTATATCTCACTGCTTCTAGGGTTTTACAAACTGGAACAAGAGAGACTTCAACCAGTTTATTAAAGCTAATGAGAAATATGGACGTGATGATATAGATAATATTGCCCGTGAGGTGGAGGGAAAATCACCTGAGGAAGTCATTGAGTACTCAGGTTTGTTGATGATGTCAGATTTATCTCTTAAAAATAATAGCTGTATATCCATCTCATATTTTGTTCTGTGATTTTTTTTTACCCCTATTTATAAAGTATGGCACTTAGAAAAATGAGAAGCTTGCTGGAGACCTAAAGGTTTCATTTTTAGACCCTGACTCTGAAAACTTTTCACATATTTTATTTTCTTGTAATGATAAGTGCATGCAGAAGCCTTTTTTAGAATTGAGGCCTTTACTTGCAATTATTGTCTGTACTTTTACAGCCAATAAAGTCAGAGGTAAGAGTAGATATTGATGGCATTAGAACCTAAATAATTGCGCAGTAGCTATAACAAATTTGATGAAAAAATACAGTTTTGTTTCCTCAAAATAGCAGCCAAACTTATAGTTTTTGACCTTATTACCAATTTCTATCAAATCCTTCCAATTTTACACGTTTCTTTTATTTCATTAGTATATCTTTCCTAAAATTTGAATTTCAACGGCTTGTTAAAGCTGTTTAAAGTTGACTTGCTGTTTCAGGAATTAATTGTTATACTTAAAATTGCTGCTGAGCTAAGACTGAAGACAACTCAGAGACTGAAACTAGGATTCTTCCTGTGGCAGAGTATTGCTGCAAATTACTTCTAATGTTATCAGTAGACACTAACCATGTCTATTAGCTTGTTTCTCAGAAAATATAATGCAAGAATATTGGTAAAACTTCAGATATCTTGTAACAAAAAGCTGCATTGTTAAATAGTATATTATTATAGAATAAAAGAAGAATAAAGTTAAAATATTTATTTCATGGATTTAATGGAGTTAATATTTTTCTGCCAGCTGTTTTTTGGGAACGTTGTAACGAATTGCAGGACATTGAGAGGATCATGGCTCAGATTGAGCGAGGAGAGGCAAGAATCCAACGAAGGATCAGTATCAAGAAAGCTCTGGATGCCAAAGTAATAATAGTTGGTTTTGTTCTGTGAACTGTTTTTACCATTGATTTCCTGCTACTAAATTCTGCCTCTAGTTAAAGTTGGATGCAGTACCTTTCAGTTCTCTTCAGAAAGAAAACTATGGGGTAGTATTGCCTTTTTCACACTAAGGGTGGCTGGATTTCACTGGTGGATGAAGTGATCCCCATCTGTGGTTTGAATAGTATTTAATTAAAAAACTGCTTGAAAAGCTCAATATAACAGTATTTTGTAACTCCTGTTGCTTACAATAGTGAAGTGATGAATTCTTGATTGAAAGTTGCATGTTTACAAATAAATCTAATAACCCTGCTTTTGTTTTGCATTCAGATTGCAAGGTATAAAGCGCCCTTTCATCAGCTGCGAATTCAGTATGGAACAAATAAAGGCAAAAACTACACAGAAGAAGAAGATAGATTCTTGATATGCATGTTACATAAGATGGGCTTTGACAAAGAAAATGTATATGAAGAACTAAGGCAGTGTGTGCGTAATGCTCCTCAGTTCAGGTTCGACTGGTTTATCAAGTCTAGAACTGCAATGGTATGTATCTGCCTCAATTACCTAGGGCTAAGATTTTTTTAGGTAATGTTTTTTATTTCTTTTTAAGCACAATTATATGGAGCTTGGACCTCTGGCAGAAAAGTGAAATGTAGGAAATAATTAGGTATGGGAATGGGCATATTGGTCTGTATTCTTACTATCAATTCTTAGTAAAAGATATAGTGGTCTTTTTCCCCAGTACATGTAAACATCACTTTGCAATGAAATGAAAACAGTTTACAAAAACTGGCAAAGGGTTTCATGTAAGCCAAAGGGTTTTTTACTAAGATAGACTGCTTATACAGATCTGTAGTTCATTCTACACTAAAAATAAATAACCCAAACAATGTTTGTAATTGATCTTAAAACAGAATCACTTTGCAAAGTTAGTTGATGGTATCTCAAATGCTGAAGAACATTTGAAATATAAAATAACATTAATCTTTTGGATAATAGATTTTCTTAGTAATTTAAGACTATAGTGTGCAGAAAAGTTGCTGAGAGTTTGTAAAAAAAATCAGTCTCTGTGCTAGATCAGTGGTAGAAGAACCTTCTGGCCCCGTCGGCCGACTGAGTGGCATGGGGCTGGTCCATGGGTGGGGTCAGTCTGTGGACCTGATCCAGTGTGGGGTCAGTGTACAGGTGCAATCTGTTGTGCTGGGTCCAGATGCGAACGGACCTTGTATGGCAAGCCTATCCCTTCCTGTCACAGTCCGTCTGTGGACTGACCCATGTGTTTGCCTGATTTTGCACATGGGGTCATATCATCTCACCTTCAGGGCTCCCATAGGTCTGGAAATTTGGCAGCGGGGAAGCCCTACACACTGGATGACACAGCTCTGTGGGCTGGAGGTTGAGCGCCATTGTGCCAGATGATTATACGAAATAAAGCTTACATCCAGTTTCTCCTCCATAATTGTTGTTTTTAAAAATTCACAACATTTAACACAGATCATATCACATTAGAATCCCTTATGAACAGTTGGTTCATAATGAGACAGAAACAGTGCCAATTAGACAACGGTATCAATTAAATTAATACTTTGCATCTGTATTCTTTTTCTATCTGGAGAATAGAGCCACTGTAATTGAATTTAGACACTTGATTGGCAAATGGTGTTGCTAGGGGAAGATTTGGTTACCACATGCAAAATATCAGTATATCAATTTTAGAACAAGAAAGTATAATTTTCTTATGCAACTGTTGAATCAGTTCTACAACCTTTGAGCCGGTACACCTTCCAGTGACTTCAGTGGAAGTTTTATCTGAGTAAAATTTGTGGAAAAGGGCCCAATACAAAGAAAACGGAAATTATTGTACTGAAAAGGAATTTCCAGCATCTTCATTGTAATAAACTTTTTGAATACAGGCAGTCCTCAACTTACAACATTTTGAGTTACAATGTTTTGCACTTACAACGTTTATAAATTGACACCTTGTTTCAACTTTATGACGTCAGTTTTGACTTTGATCTGATGCAATGCCACGCCAGTGAACAAGTTCGCTGCTTTGCTCATCTCCCTGGAGAACATCTGTCTAAACTTGCTTGGATACTTTCTTTAAGAAAGCAGGCAAGACTCCAGAAAAACCTGCCGCCAAGACTCCTGAGAAGTCTCCAGCCAAGAACCCTTCAAAAAGTCCAACCAAGAGCCTTTCAAACAGTCCAGCAAAGTCACCTCAAATAAGTCATTCCAAATCAATATGATTGCTATTTACAATATAACTACATTAATGTAGCTATATTACTCATCTATAATTGATCGACTACAAAATTCTGGGGTATTTCTGGTGAAAATAGGGTATCAGGCCTTGGTTCAGGAACCAATCTCCCATTTATAACATTGTTTCTCATGCGAAAATTGGTTCTGAGTTATAACATTTCAACTTAAGACGTGGTTTTCAGGAACCAGTTGTCATAAGTCTGAGGACTGCCTGTAATTTAAGCTTGTTTTAGTCTGCGGTAAGAATGGGTTGGGGACTTCTCTCTCTGTCTCTCTGACTGAGCCTACTCAAAAAGCTGACTGGTACAAGAGAAGAGAGTCACTATATATTCCCTACTGAAATTATCTCTGGGGTTTTGCCAACCATTAGTGCCCTTAAATGCCACTATGAGGTAGGATGAGTTAAGTACCTTTACATATGCAAACCTGGATTTTTTTTCTTTTTTTACTTCTGCCATTCAAGTGACTGTGGGCCTAGTGGGGTGCCCTTTTTAAGTCTCTTGATCCTGTATCATTAGGATTCACTTACAAACTATACACCCAGGCCTCTGGGCACTATATAAAAATGAGGCACAACATTAGGAAAAAGACTGTAAATGGTTATTATCATCTTGAGCTTTGGGGGACCAGTGGAATCCCCCAAGGCTCTGTCCTTGGACCCATACTGTTCAGCATCTTCATGAATGATGTGGACACTGGAGTCAGAAGCGGACTGGCCAAGTTCACCGATGACACCAAACTTTGGGGCAAAGCATCCACACCAGAAGACAGGCAGGTGATCCAGGCTGACCTGGACAGGCTCAGCAAGTGGGTGGACGAGAATCTGATGGTGTTCAGTGCCGATAAATGCAAGGTTCTCCACCTTGGGAAAAAAACCCCGCAGCATCCTTATAGGCTTGGCAGTGCTATGTTGGCTAGCACTATGGAAGAAAGAGACTTGGGGGTCATCATTGACCACAAGATGAACATGAGCCTGCAATGCGATGCTGCGGCTAGTAAAGCGACCAAAACGCTGGCTTGCATCCATAGATGCTTCTCAAGCAAATCCCGGGACGTCATTCTCCCCTTGTACTTGGCCTTGGTGAGGCCGCAGGTGGAGTACTGCGTCCAGTTTTGGACTCCACAATTCAAAAAGGATGTGGAGAAGCTTGAGAGAGTCCAGAGAAGAGCCACGCGCATGATCAGAGGTCAGGGAAGCAGACCCTACGATGACAGGCTGAGAGCCCTGGGGCTCTTTAGCCTGGAAAAGTGCAGGCTCAGGGGCGATCTGATGGCCACCTATAAGTTTATCAGGGGTGACCACCAGTATCTGGGGGAACGTTTGTTCACCAGAGCGCCCCGAGTGATGACGAGGTCGAATGGTCATAAACTACGACAAGACCGTTTCAGGCTGGACATAAGGAAGAATTTCTTTACTGTCTGAGCCCCCAAGGTCTGGAACAGCCTGCCACCGGAGGTGGTTCAAGCGCCTACATTGAACACCTTCAAGAGCAAACTGGATGCTTATCTTGCTGGGATCCTGTGACCCCAGCTGACTTCCTGCCCTTTGGGCAGGGGGCTGGACTCAGTGATCTTCCGAGGTCCCTTCCAGCCCTAATGTCTATGAAATCTTGTTCAGTGTCAGGCTATTCTCATAGTAGTTTGTAATTAGAAGGGAAGCAACTGAAACACTTTCCATTCCTGTATCTCCCAGCCATTCAATCACTCTCTTAACACTATAGTAACTTCCCTCATTAGGTCTTTTTAAGTGATGGGAACTACTGTATTAACTGTCTTAAATTTCTTATTGAATAATGTTGGATTTTTCCACTGAAGTTTATTTCTGAGGTGCATGTTGCTCTTCTGTGGATGAATCCAGTGAAGTAAAGCATGGGACCAGAGTACAACAAGTTTTGAATCTATACAAGTTGTTCATGTATTTGGCTGGATATTAAGGCTGGAATGTGTCATTAGATCTTCTAGTCTCAACTCCTGGGTATTATGAGCTCCAGTATTTCAACCAGTTACATTCCTCTTTTCAAGGAGAGAGGTGTCAGTGGCCACGTGTGGGTGGAAATTTGTCCTACCATGTCTTAGTAAGATATTGAAGGGCCTGTGGGTATAGTAGGTGTTTTGCCCTTACTATCTAATTTTAGTCTTTTGATATGAGTTGTTCTTAAACCATTCTCCTAATGCTGCCTAGAAATTTACAAGGAAAGAAACTGTTAGGGAGTAGCATCAACATGCAAAGTGGTCAAGGACAACAAGGTGTCCCAGGGGCGCCGGGGTTACAGGAGAACCCCAGGCCAAAATAGAAGAAAGTCCCAACTTACCTCCTGCAGGGGCCGAAAGGTGTGGGGAAATGCGCACAGAGAAACCGCCCACACGGTTCATCAGCTGCGCTCATATCCAGCTGGGGCCTGATGACGTCACCTGGAGACGCCACCCGGCGGACACAAAAGGCGGCCCTGAGGGTGCAGAAAGGAGGCCAGTGAGCGGAGGCTCCACAGGGAAGCCCACGGCCTGAAAGGCGCAGCTGCTGCGTTGGGCAGCCCAGGAAGATGGGGGCGGAGCCAGTGGAGGCACTGACCGAGAAGCCAGCAGTGGAGCCGGGAGAGAAGCCGGCAGCGGAACGGCGGAGGCTCCAGCAGCGGAGGCGGTAGC